AACAAAACTATGTACACTCAGATAAAACCGAGGATAAAACAAAGGAATTATTCGAATATGGTCATCAAAAAATACTAGTGTCGTAAAGTGTTTAGGAGTAGGATAATTCGTGATCTGCGCATCAAATTTACCAAAGAAACCGACTTTGATAAAGATTGTAGATGGACAAGGGCTTTTTTAATAGTACGGACTTACAAGGTTTTAAGTTTTTTCTCTCAAGCACTTCAATTTTTGTTTCTCACCACAAAAAGTAAAGCTCAATAGACCAGGATAAGTTGGAACCTTGATTCCGAGTATCGTGAAACTGTGTTTTGAGTAGGAAATCTGGCTTTTGACTACGAAACTAACGATTTTTCCTTAAGATTACATATCGGCAATCAGAAAGAGAGATGTTGAATACGACATAAAATAATGAATATAAAGAGAGAACTATTATTGAATCAATTGTTCACTATATTAGGAGACATTAATAATAGAAGATGAGTGGAACAGTGAACTCACCATACAGAAAAGATAGATATTAATAGGAGAACGCTTTTAGATACGTAGATAATAGTTTGGATGTCTAAGCACTCTGGAGGTCATCTGAAAGGAGGTGATCAACCCTTGACTATAAAAAATTAAAAGTAACTATTTCACCGACGGCAGGGCCGCAAAAATTGAGCTGTTGTTAAATTGTCCGCGACCATGTTTTTTTTCTTAATCCAACAATCAAAAATGGACTCTTTCAACTGGAGCTGCAGGATAGAATTCGATACTCTGTTTTTGGGGTATAACAATCTTTTATAAATATCGAACTATATTAAGAATTTGAGAAAATCAATGATATAAGATGAGGAGAATAATTATTATTTACGCTTTCAGTTTCTGAAATACCGAAATACTGAAATAGCATACAAAGTATGTTTTAAACCATTATCTGCAATGATACGATCGTTCAGTATAGCATAACAAAAGTCTCCACCGACGACCTACACATTTTTGCTTCAAATTCGACTCAACGCTAGTTTTTTTTATCGTCATGTTGATATTCAATGCTCTAATTTAGCTAAATGTACTTGAGGAAGGTCGCTGTTAGGACCCAAACGGCGTGCAATAAAGAGAAATTTTAAACCTATAATGTGGTTTCATTTCGCCATACAAACATGAGGGATTATCGTAAGTAATATAAGGGCATCTAATTTTTCGGAAAAAAATCGAAAAAACACGTTGCTAAGCAATATTTTAACAAGAAGCATGAGTGCTGGTAGCAACAAAAATCCGAGTCGAAGACGAGGATTTTTGCATCTGCACGAATGTTTTTTGTTGAAAAAATATCATTTTGCATTGTTTTTTCGATTTTTTTTTCGGAAAAATTAGATGCCCTTATGATATTACTTACGATAAGCCCTCATGTTTGTCGGGCGAAATAAATTAGATGTGCGAATGGTATTTGTCAAGGCTATTTCATGAGTAACATATTATTCTGCATACACATAGCTTAAAAAATTTATTGAAAATAAAATCAAAACATTGTTTAGCGTCGTTTTCTGGTGTCCTAGGAGACCATAATTACTTGTTATCAAAGGATTGTAATTTTTGGTGACAAGAGCTGTCAAGTTTTGCCGCGGGTAAACTGGAAAAAACTTCTGACAGGTGATGTCATACAATTTTTCCATCTAGAAACTTTTGTGAGTGGTAGAAATTAAGACTATAGGGTCTCCTGGGCACATAGAATATTGGGGTCTACAACTAAAGGGGCCCCAGGGTCGGTCAAATTCGGGGATCTACTTTGCCACTGGGGAGACTTGAAGGGGGATGTACTCAGAATCTTTTCCCGAAAATTTTGTTTGATGTAGGGTATTTGAGAGCCCCAAACGTATCCTAGGTACGTGCCCTTGTGCCTATACAGGGTGACTTTGAAGTTGAGTCATTAATTTTCAGATAATGATTGTAGAAGGAAGATAAACCAAAATATGTGTGTAAAAATAAAAAAAAATTAAAAAAAAATGTTACCTTGTTTTATAAAGTATCCTACCGACAAGTATTTCAGTGCGGACCTGTATTTGTTCGTGCAGTCCGGCATGCCCTCCCCTGTGAGGTCTTAAGTCACCTGATTCACGAGCCCTTTGTACTACATTAACAAAGGCACGAGGGGTTGGATGCACTTGATTAAATAAGAATCATGTCCACAAGTTCACAAGTTCAGCATTTTCGTAAACATGTGCCATTTTTTATTTCGTTTGAGCCACGCAACAAGCACCACTATTCACTCACGCGTTACCGGCTGAAACATTGACTGACATCGTGATAAACGTTTCAAATTCTTTCGCTTTTTTGTTTCCGATGCGATGAACCGATAAGGCGGATTATATCCGTTGTTGCCAAACACGAGCACATAATATTATTATTGAGACAGGGCGGTACTCAAACTTCTAAAGGGCTATAACTTTGTTAATTTAATTTTACCAGAAAAATGTTAAAGGAAAGAAACATTTCTTTTGATCAGATCTACTCACTGTTAAAATAAATGACTCAACTTCGAAGTCACCCTGTATAGGGTAAAGACGAATAGCTTGCTGGCTCCAATGAAGGTAAGTGATAATTCTAGAACATTTTTCGCGGTCTTGGAAAGCAATTATGGCCCATGCCGATCCAGTTCTGAATATTTTTGAGTAATGTGTTTTTTTCTGTACGATGCTGTACTTTGCGTTACGGTATATGTGCCTCAGAAAAGCTGCTTTTATACGTTTGGTGGTCGTAAGCTCTCGCTGAATTGATATACGCTTTAAAACTTCTTCATTGGTCATGTTCAGTCCTTGATGATATTTTAACCTTCTGAAAACCCACATTTCGAAAGCTTTCTAGTATGTGAAATAGTCAATGAAGAAACCGGAAGAGTAAAGAAACATCATCAAATAGTGCTGAAAAATGAAGACAAAGAATTTACACTGACACTGACACCCTCGTACCCGACAAGTTTGGCAAGTATTTTTCCACAATAGCAGAGAGCAAGTTAGCAGAACACTTTAAATGTGACAACCCATCAAGATGTCCATCACAAAATCGGGTAGAATCATCAATGTTCTACGAGGATGTCACCACTGAAGAGATCGTGGAAGTAATCAGCAGCCTTCCAAATAAGAGAAGCAGTGAAAATGATGGAATTTCAACGCGTGTGATAAAGTTTGTGAAACGTGAAATATCTTCCCCCCTATCAGTCCTTATTAATAAATCAGTGAAGCAAGGTAAATTCCCGAAATGATTGAAACTAGCTATTGTTATTCCCGTATACAAAAAGGGTGACCGTACAGACCTTGAAAACTACAGACCAATATCACTTTTATCGATGATCTCTGAAGTCATTGAACAATGTCTGTATAAACGAATATTATGTTTTCTCAATCGCTATAATGTCTTATCAGATACCCAGCATGGGTTTAGACCCTCATGATCTATAGAAAAGGCGACCTTTGACTTTTTTTCCCATATATACATATATAGAGAAGTAGACGAAAACAGATACGTTGCTGGACTATTTTTTGACCTTTCGAAAGCATTCGATATAATGGATATTTCGTTTATCGTGGAAAAATTGTACTGCTTAGGTATAAGGGATTTTATTCTCAGCTGGATCCAGTCTTTCCTCACAGATAGAAAATTGAAAACGAAGGTCAATGGTCATACGTCAACTCAATATTCCGTGAATATAGGTGCGGCACAAGGCTCAGTACTTGCACCACTGCTCTTCATTGTATACATAAATGACTTGAAATTGTCTGGCTTCATGATTAATTATGCGGATGACACATCTATCGTCGTCAGTGCAACGACACCGCAGGATCTTCTCGAATCTATTGAGAAAGTCAAAAGTGAAATGAGCAAGTGGTGCCAGTCTAACCGCCTCATTTTGAATGAAAATAAGACTGTTGAAATTCATTTCTTCAACAAGAAACCACGCATGGATATTGATAGCTTTTCAGATCAAACTGTCTTCTTAGGAACTCATGTTGATGGTAAGTTAAGCTGGCAACCACAAATAAATCACATTTGCAACAAAATTAACAGTGCTTATTTTGCAATATTGAAATTAAAGCCTAACATCCATCTAAACTCACTCTTAATATGTACTACGCGCTAGTTTATTCTCACCTCACTAACAATATAATCATATGGGGACAGGCAACAATGATTAACAGATTATTCATCCTGCAGAAAAGAGTACTTCGATTAATTTTTAATATTAACAAGAGGGACTCTTGTAAAGAAATATTTATACGCTATAATCTGCTTACATTAACTTCCATCTATATCTACAAATGCGCCATCTTCGCATTTGAACATAGCAATAGATTTGTTCGTAACAACGCCATTAATAGTCAATACAACACTAGAATAGGCCATGATCTGAGTATACCGACACATAACTCTGCCCTATTCCAAAAATCTCCCACTCTAGCGTGCACTAAGGTATACAATAATCTGCCGAGTGAGTTGCGGAGAAGCACTAATATCCTTGCGCTGAAAAAACATCTCAGGAAATATCTGGTTGAAACATGCTATTACTCTCTACATGAGTTTTACTAACACATGAAAGTATCTGTTTTTTAAATTCTTTTAAGCTGTTAATCATTTCGTTATCAGTGAATTGTCTGTTATCGTGGAGTAAATGTATTTTAATTTCACTTTTTATTCGAGTTTTAACGAAAGTATGTATGTTTTCTTTTTAAGCTTTTAACCATTTGTCCTCACTGCTCGATGTTTATTGTGTTTATATATTATGTATTTCTAACAGATTCTCCTACCGCTTTTCTTTTCTTTGTATCAGCTTCAATGATTTTTACCGGCTAGACGAACATTTTTTGTGATAAAAAAAAGTCGCTGTATATGTAACGTATATATTTTTACCGTTACAGATTACGATTCTTGCACTGTACCTGTACCTATAATGTGATTTAACCTTTTAAAACGTTTTGTAATTGTAATGTCCTTATTTATTTTATAATTATAAGTATTTTTCTGGCATATTTGCTCAAACGCATATATGACCCTCAAATTGATATTGACAAGTCTTATATCATGTAACATGATCTAATAGGACAATAAACTATCTATCTATCTATCTATCTATGTTCATAGTGTTTACTTTTAGTACCTAAGCTTCTGATACATAAAGGACAGAGTGCACGTATGTCTTGACGAAACGTTAACTGAATTTAGGATTCACGGTAAATTTTCACTGGATACAAAAAACCAAAATTACAGAAGGCGTGGCCTGAGTTAATAACTTGTAGCACGGAAAACGAAATTTTGACCGGTAGTCTCTACACAGTAGATATTGTGTGCACCACGAGAAAATTTTAAAAATTCCTGGATATCTGTGTTCGGACGAAAATATATATAGTCGCGAACATTTTCTAAACCTTTGTAGTAGGGAGGTTTCTAGAAAAATGCATATGAACTAATTGTATGGACCTGTCTCACCGACTATATCTCAGATGGTCTACTTTGTGCTGAACATATTTCTTTATGTACTGATGAGAGCGTTGCGTGTGAAGGCAAATTCAACCTACTTGACGCCATTTTTTTCAAGTTGAGTAAATTCCAAATCAGATGTCAATCTAAAGCTAGTATCTATGGAGCGACCCATCCTCATCTCAAAGTCGGTTTCACGGTTTCAATTTGTTGGCAGTACATATTCAAATTCAGCTCTTCAAATTACGTAAAAGGACAATAGATATATTTTGGCTTACAAAGGTTTCCAATATTAAAAAAAAAACGAAAACCTTCACGCCTCTGTCATCTAGACTCGTTCCTCGGCTAAATCAGGTATGCTTATTCAAAAATACCTGATCATGGATGTCTTTAAACTTTTTTATCGGCACAATGCTGAACATCTTGTAACAGACAGCTTTCCAAAGCTGCTCTAGGTTGATTTGGTGAATCTTTAGCTTTAATGAGTCTCCATTTCGAAAACTCTGTTTTTTCAAGTTCTCTGCAGTAGGTGCTATATTTTAATGTAGATAGTAGAAAAAAATATTACAATTACAAACATAACATTTTTATGTTATCATGAGGTATCTACATACAAATACACTAAATTGAAGTGTCTTATACATTACTGGGTATAAAGTCCGACAACTGTCACTGTACGAGTCACTGATGGCCAGATCAGCGCAAACTTGCCAAACATTGGCTATGTTCCTAAAGGTACAAACAACAAATACTTGGTATAATAATAATAATTTGTATAAATATCAGCCGCAACAAAAACAAGAAACATTCTTCCTGGTCACAAAATACAGGTCGAGTACTGCTATTCGGATTCTCCGTCTTGTTTTATCACATTGTAGTTAGACTTCTTGCTTTTCAACATCCGGAGAAACGAACCCAGTGCAAAAATGGATCTGGAATGAAAAAAAAAATTACTTGTACAAAATTCGATGTAAACAAGGTTGAAATAAAATCTATCACCAAAAAAAAAATTGCAGGAATGTTAAAAGAATGGAACGTATCCTCTATTTGTTTTCAAAATTTACAGGGTGCGTGTGGGTGACTTCTTGAGTGGTTCCAAGAAAAATTATTTCGTAAAAATTGTGATAACTCCTTAGCGAATTTTCGTCAATAAAACCCAAACTCCTAAGGAAAAATTGACCAGGGCCTATAAGCATTTTCGGCTGTGAAAATAAATCTAATTTCGTGTTGATCGTATACATAAATGCAAGTTTTGTTTTTGAATTATCATTATTATTTTGAAATTTAAACATCACTTTTCTTTTCATTTCAATTCTTGATTGTTTTTTAAAAACCCAAAGGTCGCAATTTTGGAATTTTTGTCCAACATTCACCCATTTTCGAATATTTAACTAGTATTTTTGTATGAGTACATGGTCGCAACAATTTCTACTTCAAACTTCAAATCTATAATGAAACATACTAAGACACAGAACATAAAAATGAAAGTAGTTTTTACTGCGTTGACAAAAACAAAAGTCGAAACAAATTAATACACAATCATAATGAGACTTCAAACCTTTGTTTTTAATATGAGCCTAGCACAACACCTTTATTACTTGAGGTATTATGTTTTTTGGATGCTATATGACCTGTACATCACGAAAAAGCATATCACTCATTTCCGTGGGTCTGTCTGTCGCTAATATTTGAATTGCCTATAACTTGGAAATCAGGAAATTGATGAAATTTTCACACAAGGATATTGTTATGCCAAGGACAAAAATAATACTATTTGAAGATGGTCAAGTAACGGTAGAGCTACTGGCAAAAACACGAAAAAAAAAAACAGAAATCGTTCAAACTTTGTTTTTTGACGCTTCACGAGGCTCTGACTATTTAAAAAAAATGATTGTAGGGGTTGAATATTGTAGGTTGGGGGTTGTAAAGGTTGAGGGACGGTTTATCAAATTTTGTTGATGGCAGTATATTTATAAGCTTCCAACCCCAATCCATCATATTTCACACTTCAAAGATGTCCCCATAAATTTGCACTTATAAATTAGAGAAATATTTATAGACGAGACACGCGGACGGTCGGGATGATGCGATGCAACGGCGACTTTCAGACAGCGAACCCTGCTTTGCGTCGGACTGCATCGCCGGCAGGGATCATACAGTATCGCGACTGGCGCTTATGACGTGTTTGACTGGTGTGGTCTAGCAGGGTTGCCAAATGGTCTATACTCAGGGCAGGGGAGGAACTAGCGCTAGCGATATCAAATGGATGGAGACTATGCACTAATTGTATACGGGCCTTTTTGTCTGTGTTAACCATTTCATTTTTTTGATACACGTTTGTAGCTAGCTGAACGGGACTTACCGGGGCCGAGCATAATCCTTTATGAATTGAGGAAAGGCGTTGCATGGGAAGTGCAGAGTCAACTTGCCTGACGCCATTTTATGTATGATTTGTGTGCGATTTATTATAGTTTTGAAGTAGGAGGTGTCGAGACCGATGCGCTCATACAAAAATACTAATTGAAATATTCGAAAATGGGTTACTTCCAGTGTTAAAACCCCAGCTTATAGACTCTGGTCATTCAACAGATTTAAATTCGACGGTATTATTTGTGGTTTTTGTAACGCGTTTTTTTGTAGTGATTATAGTTCTAAATACAGGGTGGCGCATAGAAAACGAAACAGACGCATTTACTGGCAGCTCAGGTTTTTTTTTTGAAAAACCCTCAGACCCGTCGATTTTGTTTTCGAGGGGGTCACAAGTTTGGCAAAAAATCACGTTAAGACGTGCAGCCCCCTGGGCGAGGGTGACACCAACCCTAAAATCATAAATGGAAAGGGAGGTCGAGTTCAGTAGTTTTGAAGATTTATTGATTAAAAGCTTAAAGTAGACTTTAATAGGTACATCAGATTAGTTTGTACTACTTTCAGAAGAAATTTGACTAAAAGAATTTACTTAATAAGTAAATGCTTTTCTTCACTATGCCCATGGTTTGTTTATAATTTTGTTGTTGAAAATAGCTATTGGAGCGTTTTTTTGTGGCAAAAAAGTTGTTTCTTAAAGAAAGATAAGGGAATATCTCGTACTTATTTTAAATAGGAATTTAGTACATAGTTTACGATAGATTTGACCAAACTTTGTTGCTAAAATAACTTGTAACGGTTTATTACATAAATTAACCATGGTATATTCCACAACAGAAAGAGTTGAAACTATCGAAATATTTTTCGGAAATAATCAGTGCGCTAATAGAACAGCAGAAATATTTAATGAGCGACATGAGAACAGTAACGTGCATCGAAAATATGTTCTAGAACTTGTAGCTAAATTTCGGGAAACTGGGTCAGTCGCCAATAAAAAACGCAACATTGAAAATCCCATAAGGAACGAAGCAATAGAAGTGGGGGTTTCAGGGCAAGTTTATGTAGATCCTACGTTAAGTACCCGCAAATTGGAGACTGTGTGTGGTGTTAATCGACGTACTGTCCAACGGATTCTAAAGGCCCATAGTTTTCATCCGTATAAAATTCACCTGGTACAAGAACTTAATGAAGACGATTACAATTTTGTGAAGATATGAATGAACGAATTATAAACGATGAACATTTTCTATTCAACACTTGCTTTTCCGACGAATGTTCCTTTTTCTTAAATGGCGTAGGCAATCGTCATAACTGCCGATATTGGTCCGATTCTAATCCCAGAACTTATCATGAGGTTCATACACAGCAGCCACAAAAATTAAATGTTTGGCCTGGTATTTTTGGCGATCATTTAGTTGGTCCTTTTTTTACGTGGAAATTTGACCGGTGAAATGTATTTGGAATTACTGGAAGACGCCATAGATCCTGCATTAACAGCCATAATTGAAAATCAAAATGATCGGCGGTACATTGCGAATAGGTTGATGTTCCAACAGGATGGTGCCCCACCACATTACGCATTACGTGTTCGACAATATTTAGATCAGACGTTTCCAGATCGATGGATTGGTAGAAGAGGTGCCATTGGATGGCCCCCAAGATCGCCAGATTTATCACATTTGGATTTCTTTATGTGGGGTCATTTAAAAAGCAAAATCTATGCTACTCAGCCAGCATCATTACGTATAGAAGACCTGCGACAAAGAATTATGAATGAGTGCCTTCAAATTACTCCTCAAATATTGCAAAATGTGCGGCAATGTTTTGAGCAATATCTTTATTATTGCATGGAGAGTCATGGTGGCCATTTTCAACATTTACTTGCCTAACGGGTCAGTTCATTCTTCATTTTTAAATTACTTTGCTGCCAAATGTATTGATCTTCACTAATGATGATGTATTAGTTTATAGTTTAAAACTACTGAACTGAAGTACATTAATTTTATATCATTATAAAGGTAATTGAAAGACCTTTAAAATAAGGTATCACTTGACCCCCCTTTCCACTTAAGATTTTGAAGGTGGTGTCACCCCCGCTTAGGGGGCCGCACGTGCTAATGTGATTTTTTGCCAAACATGTGCCCCCCTCGAAAACAAAATCGACGGGTCTGAGCGTTTTTAAAAAAAACTGAGCTGCCAGTAAATGCGTCTGTTTCGTTTTAGATGCGCCACCCTGTATAATATTTCTGTACATGCTACATATATTTCATCAAATTTTCACGATAGTGACTAATGGGCTATTACGATTTTTTTCGAAAAACCGCTTCCTCAAAATAAGTTTGACATCCTAGTTTTTGTTACTCTGAGTACAAATAGTTTTTGTTGCTGCTAAGCGTATTATGCATGGTTGTGTGCCAACTTTGATTATCGCGCTGTATCTACTTATTCTGTATCACTGCAGGGGAATGTACGCCTATAACTAAGAATTTTTATTGCTTCTGTTCATACCCAAAATACACGTTGCATTTTGGATATATGCCAGAACAATAATCAAAATATCTATTGTTTTAAAATTCTGGAATATGCGGACATTTTTCCAACCTGCGACACGCAGTTCCTGCGATTCATTTTTGTTTGTAACATCGCATCGGACAACGACCTTCTATTATTACATTTCATATTTTTTTTAGTATTGACATCAAAAACTCATTAATAGACCCATCATCACAATGAACTTTTTTTGTACTATTGTACTATTTATCTATTAAAGAGGTCATACCCAGGGTTGCGGTAAATAAAGATTCCCAACGATTGTTTGATAGTTTTTTTTTACATTTTTGTTTGTAAATATTTGATCTAATGAACAGTAGATAATAGACAATTCGGTATCATTAGGTATAATTTAATTCGTTGAATATGAACATATTCTTGCTATAGTTAGCGCTTGACCCTTGAGTACGAGAAATAGTTCTATAAAGTGTACTTGAGACTGTTCGTTGGATCGAGTTTAAAAAGTAAGATAAAAGCCCTACAGCACGTGTAAATGGATTAAGAGTTGAGATTTAAGCAACATGTTGCAAATTTATCTAGATTAACATACATGCGTTTAAAGATTTCATTCTTTAATCGAGACTGGCCAAAGACAAGCCGAAACTTTGGTGATGTCGTTAATAAATTATTCAAATGTGGTTTACTTTCCTTGTCGTGATTACGTGACCAGATCTATAGTACAAAAATTCAAAATAACTGATGTAGGTTTGTTTATGGTCTGCAAAGGTTTAGTCATGTGTCCTAAAAGATCAATGAGTTGAGGTGGTTGAAGGTTGGGCACAATTTACATGCCTGTTCATCTTAGTCCAAAGACTCAGATTCTGATACCAGAAATCTCAGGCACAACTCCTACTACAACAGTTATAAAACTAATATTTTCCATAATAGCTTAACCTTCAATGCTGTGAAAGCGTATAATGCTCTTAACATCAAGAAAGATCTTCTGGGATCTGCTAGCCACACTAGTTAATAAAGTTTTAATTTTCTCGTAATTCTGGATATGACATTACAGTAAGGTGTCATCTATAGCATATTTTCAGTATAATAAAAATAACAATTTTTTTTCGACTTCTATTAGTGCTCATTCATAGCCTTGTATTCATCCAGCTTATTATCTTTAAGCCTTACCTGCCTTGTTAATATCATCTTGTTAATTTCTTTAAACGTATGCTAATGAATTGTTATTTATTTGAGTCCATTTACCTACGCTGTAAGGTTAAGTAGCAGAGTAGCTAGCTAAACTTCACCTTGGAGTGTGGATGAGTCAATAAAGGCATTATTATTATTATTATATATTTCTTTAGAAACGGTTCATTGGTCATCTAGATTCTACGCATTCAGAAAATTAACAACATACTGATAAAACGATGCAAACCTAGTTTAGTCATCTATATTTTCGTAATTTAAAAATGTAAAGCGCCACTCATTGCTTAAGAAACGGGTACCTTATTAGGTATATTTTACTTATCAAGCGTATACCTAAAAAACGCTCCCTGATCATTTGTCTGACACTTAAACTTAATGGAGGTAACCGTAGCGAGTACTTCAACATTGGAGAAGAAGATAATAATAATCTGGTGGTCTCTTAATTGGGTTGTCAACGTTCATGTGACATGTTCATCGCTTTCGAAGTTTGCCTATGGCGATAGACCAATTAATTTAATGGAACAGTGACGTCAGCGAAGGTCGAATCCGGATCTTTGATGCAATTGTTTACGGCTAGTGTTTATCACTACTTGTTTTCGTTCGCAATCAGAAATCCAGATAAACGTCCTATAATTGGTAATTCTAATCTCGATTAGCTAATAATAACATCTCTTAGAAATACTAGGTCATATTTTCGTAATAATTATGTTTTTGCTAGTACGAAGAACGCAAATCACGAAGCAGACATTAGCTGAGGGACAGGAAACCCTTAAGGTCCATAGAACTAAAGAAAAATTCCAAGAAATCAAAACAAAATTTCAACACGAATTTTTAAGTTTACCCCTCAAAGGAAATATTAGTAATTTTTTTTAATGAAGCGATTGTATCTTTTGGACGTGCAAAGTATGTCTAAATATGGTATCTATGGGTTTAGTTGTTATTTGGACTATTTTAAGATCATATTGTTTCTTGGATTATTTTTCGGAAAAGTGCTTTGTATCACGGATACAGAACAAAAAAAAACGTAGAAATAACTTTTGTTAACACATAAAATCACTATATGTGATGTTTATTTTCCAATCTACACAAATCATCAGAATAACTAGTCCCATCCAACTAGAATGCAAGAGAGCAAAATTCCTCGTCAGAAATTGCGTTATCCGCGTTTTTTTTCAAAACACAAAAGTTATTTTTCATCGAGTTAGATGCTAGGCAGCGGAATGCCGGTGGGAAATTGTCTGACATTGTGAATGAAATATAGTTGATGGGCTATAATTTGGAATACACTGAACACCAAATACCACTGACGTCGTACGATACGTGTGTTAGAAAGAGCCAGAAGCACCTCGTTGTCTAGCAACCCGACTGACGGGACCACGGACGCCATTGGCGCGCTCTAACATAGATATTGGACGCTTCTGGCGCTTCACATTACGACGTTAGCCAAATTTAAACGTTGAACCTCAGCGTATATCCACTGAAAAGACTAGTGAACATATACTCATACTATTTGCATATATTTTTTTTATTTTTATCAGTAGCTATAAGCTATTGGGAGTATTTTAAAGTCATCATATTCTGAAAGTTTCAAACGAGCTGTCTTGGGTGACTGCACTTCAAGTGGTCAAATTGAGTAACTTCGGCATAGCTGGTCGTAAGCTTTAACAGGAGAAAATGGATATCACTGGATAAGTCGAGGTTGTCTTTACTTATGGCCTTTTCGATCGCAGGGCTTTCTATTCTCTTTAAGTTACTTCATACTGGACCATCTGGGCTCATCAGTTTACAATGGAAAATTTTGAAAAATCTAAGGCGAATGTATTTATCATCGAATTGTAGCCTGAACGTCAGTTATTCTCCCATACACAAGAAGGGAGAAACTATTAACGCAAAAAATTACAGACCCGTGACGTCTCCCTGTTGTCTTTCCAAAATTTTCGAATACTGTTTCTTGCGTTGGTTGGCGCTATTCCTTGAAAGAAATGAGGTACCAACATCCAACCAACATGGTTTCCGTAACGGTAGGCCAACACTAACAGCATCTCATTCTTTCTTCAATACGCTAGTTCAGTACATTGAGGCAGGAGAATGCCCTGTTGGAATCTTCTGTGATCTAAGCAGGGGATTCGACTGTGTCAACCAAGATCTGTTATTAGTAAACTGGCAACCTATGGAATCGGTGGACCAGCCTACCTCTGGATAAAATCCTTCTTAGAAAACAGATCGCAGTATGTGACAATAACTCATAACTGCTCAGGACAACAAATCAATTCTAGTGCGATAAATATGGATGTTCGCGTTCCACGTTGGGGCCTGTTCTGTTGCATTATATGTAAATAATCTTGAGCAGTCCTTCCCCAGAGCACACTTTACTTTATACGCGGACGACACATCGATTATTTTATCAAATAAAGATGACGTTATCCTAATTAACGACTGTAACAGCTTGTTACAGAACATCAATAGCTGGTTCGTGGAGAACCAGCTGCATATAAACTTTGAAAAACCACCAGTAATCAGATTCCACGATGCCCAAAAACCAATACCTCCCCTGCAGCTAACATTGGATAATTCAGCTCTGCCCATCAGTGAGAGCACAACATTCTTGGGACTGCACCTGGATGAGTGCCTCAATTTTAAAGGACATTGTGACTACCTGTCTACGAAGCTTAGCTCGCAGGCCTACCTATTTAAAAATCTGAGAACAGTTTTTACACGCGACCAGTTATTGATGTTATATCACAGTCAAATCGAGTCGCGAATGAGGTATGCATTGTGTTTCTGGTGTGCCTCGGTGAATGCTTCAAAAGTATTTCGAAGTCAAAAGAGAATAATAAGGTGCATAGCAGGTGTTGACAGTATATACAGTTTCAGAGACTTGTTCCCGAAATTAAAAATTCTAACACTGCCGTCGTTGTTTCTTTATGAAATGGCAATATATACGTATATTAAACAGAGATAATTTCACCTTGAATAGTAATATAAATACATTCAATACGAGTACTCGTAGGCAGCACGACATTCATCTACCCTTTGCTCGATGTAAGCTGGGTAGCAGATCTCCCTCTATTTTAGGACCAAAGATATTCAATAAGCTGCCTGAGTATATTAAGACAATTACCTCCTTAAATAATTTTAAAGCTGAGTTAAGAACCTATTTTATTAATAAGACTTGTTACGCATCAGTGACTTTGTGGATATTTAGATGTTATTTTTTTTTGTATTGTTTGTTATCCACTTACCTATTGTGTGTCCTTTTATATATTTTTATATTGTATTTCAGTTAATTTATTAATTTTAACTGCTGGAAAGCTAATCTATTTTATCTGCTGTTGTTAGCCTATGGAGTCCATTTTAAAATATCTGATTTATGCTATTGTTTGTTGTTGCTTGCCATTTTACTGTTTGTTTTTTTATGTATATACATACTGTAAATTGTTTGTTGACGAACCCTATACATGTTTTATACATGTCTAATGGGTAATAAATATTATTATTATTATTACTGATGTATACGTGGAAATCCACGGCCATTTTGCGGAATAATTAGCAAATACTGAGGTATGGACCGCAGTAAATATTGATCATGTGACATTCCTCTAAGGAATCAGATAATTTCTCGACATAACTCAATGAAAAATAACACTGGTTAGAAAGAGCTCGGCATCAGCATAGGAAAAATGTATCTCCTTACTTACGATGATGGGGTTAGTCATTTTTTGAAACCAAGAAAAGTTTTTGTCTGTACCCCTAAACCGAGGCAAACTTTCGAAAATCGACAAAAAACTAAACAGGTCAGTTCATAGAACCACCCCTCAAGTTTTTTGTCCTATATTTTCGGAACACATCCTAGATATTATGTTCTTACAAACATAGATTTTGAGTTTGTTTATCAAGATGTAATATTGATCTATAATAAACATGATTTACTCACCTTCTGTGTCTTTGGATGATCTCCGAATACAATGTCTCTCTGAGAACCTTCCTATCCAGGTCTTTGGTACTCTGGATAAAAGCAGTGGGTGCCACCGGTGATGACGGAACCGCGTTCTTGCAATCCATTTCTCTTTCTCAAACACCCTGTATAGTATCACAGTATAACGATGGCATGGCAAGCATCAAGGTGTGGGTTGTAGTACATATATATATATGGACGAGTGTGTGTATATATATCTTTGTTAACAATATTTATTTAAGGCATACGAAGCGAAAAGGCATATTCTGTCGATACGTACGTGTCACATTAACTACTGTGTTGCGCGCACACTTAACAATGATCAAATGTCCACAACAAAAGGTGAATTCGAACTGAAAGGGCGATGCCGCGTGATGTTGTTTTGTCGTCGCTGGTGAATTAGAATCGCAATTTGTTTATAAAAGCATGACGTAGGTTATTTCGACTTCTTGCTACTCGCTATTACATCGTTAAGATGATCGTAGTATCGTCCAAAATGATCTTGGTATATCTCTTCTACGTTTCCGCCGATGATCTTGTTTATTGATGCATCCTTATGCCTTGGGATGATCCTGTGCAAACAATTCGCTTGTATGGATTTACTTCTGAGATGTTTTACAGTGTGGTGTGTTATGTTCACAGCAGTCTGTTGCTTCTCCTGGCAGCACTTTTCTAAACTAAGCCCGTTTACACTCAGACAGTCCATGTAGAACTTGCGATCGCTTAGCATTATTCCGTGTTCTGGGTTTTAAAAGGGATGTGAAAGGGAGTGATAGGGATAAGAAGGTCGCGTTGCCGGCGGTTTTGTCATGATATCGTATGAAAAGGAGGTCTTGAACGTCGCCGCCTTTCTCCAAGACTGATCAGGTTCACCAACTTGCTGCTGACTAATCAATATTGTCGTGTTTCCTGCTGTGAATTCGTTCCTGCTGCTGTTCGTATATGCACGTGCAGATGCGGACTAGGGAAAAGTACACGTATCGATTTCCAGTGGCGTAACTGCAGAAGTCACAGCTTATACAATACTAAACAGCTACGCAGCTTATCATGCAGAGCAACAGAGCAGCTGCGTAACAGAACTTCGTGCGAGACTCTCGGACTTCTCAATACCATGGTTTGACTTCATTTAAGCCCGGCAGGGTTATTACGTAAAAAACTTACACAGGGTGTTCCTTAATCATATGCGAATATTTAAGGGTGTGAATCTACATGAAAAATTAATGTTAGTTTGCTTTATAAACTATGGTCCAAGAATGTTTCCTTACAAAAACTCGGGGTGTTGAAGTTTTAGGAAAAAAATGGGAATTAATTAATATTTTCAGAACCGCTTCAGCTATTTCACTGATATTTAGTAGGTAGTGAAAGTTAATAAAGTTTCATATTTTTCAATGCAAAAATAATTTTTAGCTTTAACAGTGGCGTGCGTACGGGTATCGACAACGATATTTTTAAGAACAGAATGGTACGCCAATGGTTTTTTGGCAAATAAAAACCATTTTCGAATTCCCCGTTCAATTTAAAACAAATGATCTTTCTTGAATTGTTTTTCTTCGATGCTCCATTTTTTGAGTAAAAAGACAAAAACCGTTCTATTGTGTAACTTGCAAAATTATTATTAATTAAATTGGAAAAATTAAACACATTAGGGGTCATGAACAACAACAACTGACAACATAAACATAACATTAAAGGCAACGAAATGATTACAAAAATTGTTGAAAATAGCCCCCTTCACTTAGTATGCATGCTTCCGCCCTCCTTCTCCTGGAATTGCGCACTCGTTGAAATATCCCTGGAGTGTTTGTTATTCTATCACAAGCTGCAACTATTCTTTCTCTTAATTTCTCTACAGTGTTAATGGGACTTGTGTACACTAGTGTCTTAAGATAGCCCCACAAAAAGAAATCTAAACTGTTGAGGTCTGGGGATTTTGGTGGCCATTCTTGGGGCCCACCGCGGCCAATCAAACGATTTGGATAAACAGTTTGTAAATATGTAATTACGAACCGCTACACTGAAATGCGCTGGTGCACCATCATGCATGCACCACATATTGTCTTTCTTATTACTAACGGAACATCATCAAGCAGCAAATTCAACTGTTGTTGAAGAAAATTAATTTAAGTCTGTCCGTCAAGTCATCCCGGCAAGAAGAATGGGCCAATAAAGTGGTTGGCAATAATTCCTGCCCATACGTTAACCGAAAATTGGTGTTAGAAATGGGTTGCGGTTACGGCATACGGATTTTCTTCTGCTCACAAATGATTATTGTGGAAATTCTGAATGGTATTTCGAGAAAAATTAGCTTTGTCCGTCAACAGAATCATTGACTCAAATTGCGGATTTTGTGTAGTTTTTTGAAGATACCACTGGCAAAAGGTCCCACGCCTTGGAAAATCAATGGGAAGTAATGCCTGTACTCTTAAAATATCGTAAGAATATAACAAAAAATCCACTAATATTCTCCAAACAATTTAATGGCAAATATTTAAGTGTCTAGCGATGTTCCTCGTACTCAGGATGTCTTTCGACTTCGTGCAGCACTGCTTCCTCAATTTCAGGTATTCTCACACCTAAATCAGTTTCAACAAGACAACCATGAATATTAAACAAGGTTCGACTATCTGGCAAAGCACGATCGGGATATCTCTGGTGATAAATCCGTCTGGCTTGCTCACCATTGCCGTCGGCACATAATGCATTTCTGCCATTTCTGCATTTGAATAATTCACCATTATTAACAAGATTTTAAAAGCTAAATAACGAACAAGACGTCACAGCGAACAGATTTGAATAACAGAGACTTGTCAGATGTCAAAAGCCAGTGACATATTCCAGAGCAACTAGATATTTATTGCTAAATTGCATTCCTCAATTATTACATTAATTTTCTCGGACAATATAACGGTTTTTATTTTTTTACTCCAAAATGGCGCATCGAAGGAAAACAATTCGAGAGAGATCATTTGTTTTAAATTGAACGGGAAATTCACAAATAATTTTTATTTGACAAAAAATTATTGGCGAACCATTTTTTTTCTTAAAAAATGCCGAAGTGAATATCCGTACGCACGCCACTGCATTGAAAAATATGCAACTTTATCAACTTTCACTACGTACTAAATATCAGCGAAATATCTGAAGCGGTTCTGAAAATATTAATTAATTTCCATTTTTTTCCTAAAACTTCAACACCCCGAGTTTTTGTAAGGAAACATTTTTGGACCATAGTTTATCAAGGAAACTAACATTAATTTTTCATATAGATTCACACCCTTAAATATTAGCATATCATTAAGCAACACCCTGTATAATGTCAAAAAAGCATTCTCAATGGACAGCGATACTTGTTGTAGTCTTTAAATATAGGCACCAAGCTATGATTATTTAATTTACGCTTCATTCTTGAGCACGCTACTGATATGTCTTTTAGGGTTCATGGCTTTATTTGCATTTACCTTATGGTTGAGAAAACGTATCTAATGAACGGAAGAACTATAGCAGGTTCATGTATTTATTTTTGCTTCTACTTCTAAAATACTAAATAAATATGAACTAAACATTCAGAAATATTTTTATTGCGTTTCGAAATATTCCGTTTTATGCTTCATAAACTTTAAACGATATTGAAGCTCCTTCTCAAGTTTTCAAATAATAGCGTGATACACAATTTTTCTCTATTGCTGTTAAAATGCATCTAAATTCAGCTCGATTGGTCAACGTAAACTGGTTTGAAATTGAGTTTAAAGATTTGTCCTGAACATAAATACTAACATATAAATAGGCCAAGTTGAATAAAAGCTTGTAATAATTTCAGCTGTGACCCTGTTTATCGTGCATTACTACTCCGATGACAAAAAAGGGGAAATTAGCTAGGATATTTTCAAATTAATACAAGTATTTAAAATTTGAGAAACAACATAATAATTGATCAAAATCTATATTAATTAAATTATTTTTTATTGATTAATTAGATAAAAAAACAATCATGCTTTGATAATAAATTTTGCAATAATATCTGATTAATTCATGATTGTCGCATTTGATGTTTGATTAAGTGAAACGCCATTATAGAAATATATCCTTCGATGAAGCTCTATCTTGAAGCTTGTAGCTCAGGAAGATACAAACTAAAAAAATTAAATAAAAAGCAACCTCATGTAACGTTCTATCGACTTATTCACTTGTGACAGGCCAGGTAATCGTTTGTGTTGCTTGGTAACAATCCAGTAAATAACACGGTGAATAACGTAGTCAGTTGAATTTGATATTTATAATTGATCACATTTATAATAAATAATGATGAACCAACAACGGCCAGCCCCCATCGGCTCTGCCAATGATAAAGAAATGCTGACAATGGCTGAAGAAGAATTATCTAGGCTACACAGACAGGTAAATTGCTCTTGATAGGATCATATCTCCTATATATGTTTTCTCAAAAAGCTGTTTTGAAGTACGCCATACTCAGGAAGCTCCAACTAATAGAAAATTTTTGAATCACAACGTTATCGAATTGTCTTCAGTAAAGCTGTTAAAATTGTATTTGAAGTAAATCTACATTAGTAGCAGCAAACAGCTGTTATTTTTATAATAAAAAACCCTTTCAAACATATCTGAAGTCTGATCGATATATTTTGAAGATTTTTCTTGTTCATGTCGACGAAGGAAGTGCTTCAAGGAAGCATCTTTGGTGAGTTGAACTGCTTTCCTTGAACTGTACAGAAACTCCAGGTTTACCATTCTTGTGATATAACGCTCAGCATTCACAGAGGATACGAAAGGTCGAAGATTAATGAGATGGTTTTCTCAATGTTTCTTGTTTTTAGCTGCGTATAATGGAAGAAGACCGTTGCGCCTTCCTAGAAGAAACAGGCGTCGCTTTGGCAAAACAACGCAGCATCATTAGCATTTTGCGCAAAGAAAGGGACGCCCTTCTAGAAGACGCAAGTGTGGCCCGATGCGCAATACACAAGAGGAAAGACGAAGAATTCACGGAAAAAGTGGCCATGTTGGCGAGTGAGAAGGAAGAGAAAGAAAGAGTCTTGAAAGAAGAGAAGGAGAGATTGAAGGAACTTGATGAACAGATTAGGAAGGTATATTTTTATTCAATAGAAGTGGGCGAATGATTACAAGCGGAACTTTGATGATGATAGGTATGCCTATCTCTAGATAGAAACTATTTAAGGTCAATGATGTGGCAGCTCTCTGGCTTCAAACGCTTGGACGCCACCTACACCTACACTTTAAACATTGATTAACGTATTCACTTAGTATGCATGCTTCCGCCCTCCTTCTCCTGGAATTGCGCACTCGTTGAAATATCCCTGGAGGGTTTGTTATTCTATCACAAGCTGCAACTATTCTTTCTCTTAATTTCTCTACAGTGTAATGGGACTTGTATACACTAGTGTCTTAAGATAGCCCCACAAAAAGAAATCTAAACTGTTGAGGTCTGGGGACTTTGGTGGCCATTCTTGGGGCCCACAGTTATGTTTCTCCTCTCCATAATAAAAGGTTAGTGACACAAAGATGGTGTTATAGCAAATTATATCAGGGCACAATTAAGGTTGCTTTAGGCTATCTAACTTATTGTATTAACTAAAAACAAAAGTCTTAACATTTTTTTCTAGATTTAATATGGGCTTTAGAAACACTATCCATATCGAATTCTTTCAGCAAATCATATCCAATATTCATCAACGTGAGGTTAATAAGCCGTTCTTCGCTTCTTCTTCACATCGTGTTGCTTAACTCACTTTTTATCAGTCTTGATGTTGAGTAACGTTCACCACTGCAGTTAGTGATCGTGAGAGACAAATAAATGTGCAAGGCAACTTCTACGTTTAGAAAACAAGATTCTAAAAAAATATTTTTCAAAATCTTTCAAAATTACAGCTCCAGAGCCTCGTACTTCTTGCTGTTAATAATACTAGCCATATCAGATTTAAGCAATGCACTAATTCGTCGCCTGAGCTGTCCTCCAAACTATCTGCGAAATTGAAGAATTTTTCAAAATCTCTTCTGCTGTAATAGATTCTAGCTGTCAGAACATTTAGAAAACGTCAGTTATATCTTGTGATACGCTTCCATGTGTTCAACTGTTTCAACTGAAGTAGATAGTTCGCTATCAATAATAACAATCATCTGAGTTTCATAGCATTGTCCAGTTATATGATTTTCGACAAAGTCGTTGAGTTTAATTGATCCGTTGTGATGGCTATATTTTGTATTTCGCTTACTTTGTTCTAAGTCTCTTGATGATATTTCTCACTACCAGTTAAGTTCTTTCGCTGTTGCCTCACAATTTGAAAATATGGATCGGATTTATTTAACGTACGCGTATAATAATGATTCGAAAGGGAGCATCCATAGTTAAGGTCTTGATCAACCGACAGCAACGAAGCTTTGGTCGTTTACAAACGTCCTAGGATTCCGTTCCACACAATTATTATTCCCGTTTACAACTTACTCATCTTTGAAACTAGTCCGTAAACTTGGTTATTGTTTCATCTACGTTATTGGAAATATCTACCACCATTTTTGGTATTTTAAAAATGTATTGACGATTTAAATTATAGCTGTACGTTTTTTAGCTCTTCAGGTAGAATACGTTGATCAATGTTTAAAGTTTGACACTTTAGCTGAAAAATAGTCATCCTAGACACCACATCTTTTATTTCCTTAAGTGCTGTGAATTCTTTTTCAACTGGTTTCAGCTGGAGGACAACATTAGGGTCTTAAGACCAAAATCAGCCGTATCAGATGAAGACTACATACAGAGACTGGCTAGCGGACAAAGGTCAATACAAATTTTACAAAATAGATTAGGCAACACTATAAAAAAGTTTTGCAATATCTTAGCTGAGAACAAAAGACTTCGTGAGGAAATTGATCATCTTTTGAAAGAAAGGTACCTCAGGATAATTGTGCTGTGTGTGTCTATATTTTTTGAGCATTCTCGCTCAGCGCTTGAGCTGGTTGAACTAAATTAAGAAACTATTTCAAAATTGTATTGTAATTAATTACGAAGATGTAATTTTGAAAAATGATTCCAGATCCCATTTCAATGAAGTGTGTGAGAAATTGTTGAGAGATGTTAACACCGGTAAAAAATTCATGGTAGAATTGATAGAGCACACTACAGTTGCCTTTGATCAGAGAGAAGAATTTTGTTCCAAATTGGAGCTGTTGAAGAAAAGAACTATGGTGGACGAATTAGCTCACACAGAGGTACGAACAGTTGACAAAAACGCACAAAGAATAAATACGTTTCCAAATGTCCAAACACCTTTTGGCATTTTTTTGGGGCCAACGTTCTGATAAAACGATAGGTCGAAATATAAACGGAAGCGTAGAAACTATACACTATCACATCAGCTTTACACAGAGTGTTTGGATTTTGATGGTAGTGCTCCAAAAGAACCTTGCGACTAGCAGTTAAAGAAAGTTCTGATTATTTTAGAGCTTAGTTGGAAACATGGATCCTCGCAAACAAATATTTTTGGATATCGTGGTGATAAAGTTGTCGGAAATTATAATAAATGTTAAAGCATCACAAGTCCAATCTCACCTAATCTCACGTTGGGAAGTGGAGGTACAGGCAAAAACCACGTTCATTTCTCCCGTGTAAATTTGCAAAAAATGGTCACGGAGTCATGAGTCTCCATTGGATAAATTAGAATCAAATAATTTCCTTAATTTTATATAAAAATGAAGCAATTTGTATTTTTTTAATAAATCCAACGTTATCCGGTGGGAGGAGGCCAAGTTCAGTCTGACGACATCTCACGAGGGGAGGAGGGGGATAAGAATGCCTCAAGCAATTCAGGGATGCCCTCTAACTTCACGAAGCGTCTTAGTGGAATGGTGGCTTAAGCTGCGAACCGTGAAGTTCGAACCCTACAACAAGGAGAATTTTTCCTACCTAATGAACGTTGCGATTGTCCTTGTAGATGGCAGACGGTTTCCTTTGAACGAGGAGGTACCACCTAGTGGATCTCGACAATGGGATCAACATACGGCTTAGGCTTTCGTGGGAGTCCAAGTATAAAAAATCTCAACTGGCCAATCTACTTATTTTTATTATGAAAATGAATGAGTGGAAATGATCCGACAATGTGAAAATATCACGATATTAACGGGAAGTTTTTATTTTAAATTGCTGTAGCGTATAAAGTGGATAAATGATGCATTTACGTTAGAAAAGCCACGTCTTTAACGTTTAGTTCCAATGACGCGCAATTCTATACCCTAGCAGATCCTCTTTGTGTGCATAATAGAACGACACGTGATTATCTATAATTATTCCTTGTTAGGTCAGTCTTTTTAGTGCTTCTTGCTTGTATTCTATATTGCTCATATGCGCATCAGTTGCAATTAGAACAGTGGCGTAGCATGTCTAGATGGAGCCCTATATCAAAAAATTGATCTTTCCTTCATTTAGTCCAGGATCCCATCTAAGAACATGCCTGTATCGGAATAAGACAGGACAAAGTGCCATCTATTACCAGAACTGACACCACTGGCAGAGCGAAAGCAGCATGCTGTCTGTTGTAACTGCTTCCCATCCCAGTACGCATTGTTAGCAGGGGCACCACTGTGGCTGCTAGATGCCGCCCATTCTGGCGCGATTTATGTTGTCGGTTATGACAATCGAATGAAACTTTACCTACGACCATTGCAAAACTGAGAAGCTTTAAAGCAGAAAATGGATCGCTTTAGACCGCCCGTTTACATAGTCAAGTTGACATCGGATTCGATGTCTACACAACCAAAATGCCAAGGACGCAAAAGATTTGTAGTTTTTGAAAATCGGTCCAGTGGTGGCAGAGAAAACGTTTTTTTTGTTTCAGAGGATCTTGATCATTTTTGAATAAAATTGAGAGGAGAAGAAAACTTGGTGGTGGGGATTTTAAGTCGGCAGGGATGGTTTATGACAATTTTTTAATGATGGTACATTTATACGCTCCCAATTAGATATATTTCATACATAATAGATTTCGCTGTACATTAGCTCTGAAAACTATTTTGAGCAGTCGGAATGCGTACCTATCGACAGCGGCTGCTGCAGTCGTCGTGTGCCGACCATGATCAGTCTTCTGGTATGGAATCACATGTATTTCTGCTCTTCAACAGCATAGTGTTTTCTATGCTCTGACCGCGCTGCCACGTCTTCCGAGTCACGTATCCAGATGCACTACCGGTAGGGCACTGAAATAATGTCTATGGACTAATTGTATGTACCCGTTTGACTGACTTTTTCTCAGAGTGTCTAGTTTGTGCTGAACATGTTCCTTTATATACTGATAACGGCGTTGCGTGGGAAGTACACCTACTTGACGCCATTTTGTTGCTTTTCATGTTAGGACCAATTTTAGTGATTTTGTAACGGCTTTTTGATGTACGTTGATTGTACTATATTTAGATGCACACTGTGGATGTATCATAATATTGATTTTTTACAGGAAATGAGGGAAATACACAGACAACTCGATCATGATCTGACCTTAAGGGAGTTCTTGAGCGTAAAAGGACAGAAGCGTATTCTCAAAGATCTGGAAGAAAAAGAGCGAATACGCTTGGAAGACGAAGCCGAAAGCTTAGAAAACCAACTCCTTGTCTATGAAAAGACTTTGGAGCAAATTCAGGTGTTGATTTATTTGCTTATGCTTCAAATTTACCAGCGTCATTCCTTATTATTTATATGCAGCAATTATATACGATTTTTCACTGGAGTTTTTAAGCTAATGGAAATAACTTAAACGGTTAAGTTATGAGGTCGTGCAGGCAATAAGATTCTCCTCGACCTCTGCTCCGTAAGTTTCTGCTAAAAATTCGCAAGCAATCACAATGAGTTTCCTTGTTGTTATTGAACGACAAATGACGATGGTGCATTTGAAAAAAGCTCGGTAGTGGTCTACGGGTATATTGGTGAGATTGTAGTCCCACATCGTATAGCTTGAGGTACATACATATTCTGAATTTGATTCAGCCTACATATTTGAAACGGATCGGTTTTTCGAAAATCATCAATGGAAAAAATAGGCTTTGAATATCTCAAAGAAAATTGTTTATCCAGCACGAGGCATCATTGATTATTAATACAACCTATATATATATATATATATATATATATATATATATATATATATATATATATATATATATATATTTATATGCACTGACAATGAAGCTGATTTTTTAGCAATTCATAGATGAGAAAAGTGTTGACAGGATCGCTTCTCAGTATCTGAAGCAGGAGGAAGAAAATTTTGCTCTATTCAACTATGTGAACGAGCTAAATCATGAAATCGAGCTACTGAATGCCTGCATATTGGAAATGCAAGAACAAATTGGTAGGTCTTCAAGAAAATGTGTAATCAAATTGTGGTTATAGAATCTCTGAACGTTCAAAGTAAATGTATCTTGAGATTTATAGATTTCCGAATTATTGCAGATGAACAAATTGAAATGAGTAGCATTAGAGCCAAAGAACGTCAAGCAACGTTGAAATCGCTTAAGCTCGACCTCGAAGCAGCTGGAAAAAAGGTACTAGTTTCATTAGGGTGTATGCATAATTCATGCAGTCGTAAACTTTCAAATGAAAATAAAAACAAAACATTGCGACGATTGCGTAGATTTCGAATCACATTTTCTATCTCTCTTTTTCGTGGTGCATCAAGACGCTATGTTTTATACAGGGCGTCCCAGAATAGCATGTCCATCTCCTTGTATACATATATTACATAAAAAGTAATGCCGCAATTTCCTATAAAAATTCCCTATACGGAGAAACTGACCCTTAAAGTATGCTATTGAACGGTTTTTCTCAAATAACTTTTTAGCGACAAAGAATAATTCAACAAAAGTTTGATAGCTTACACGATGGTGGCCGTGGAGATAATTAACTCATTTAGAACACCATGGACGGATTAGCCCTACCGTGTTTTTTACACCCTGTATAATGGTCCAAAAATAACATTTTTGGAGAGTCCAATGCTTTAGCTGAGAAAAAATATACTTCTTTGATTTCAGCAAAATGAAGCCACTTCCCAAACAATGTGACATCTAAAACTTGAGCAAGGTCTGAAAATATTCGGGTAGCTAATGAAGATTCCGTTATCGGAATTGCCAAACAAATATTTCTAATATGCCGTAACCAGTATTCTGGATCTAGTGCTAAAATTAACTACTGAAACAAGGGTGTTCTTTTCAAAAAACGGTCGATAAAAATTACCCAATACTAATGAAAATTTATAGTCGATAGCCCCCTTGCCTGGACAATAAAAATAACGTGCATTTGAAATTCTTCTTTAGTGTAAACATTTCAATCACAAATACGATCTTCTTCAGTAATGACATTCACTAGAGAACCAAATTTGTCTAACGGCTTGAGTTCAATGTGTACGAGAGAGATATGTTAGAAAGCGATAGAAGCCGACTGGATAGCGAAGCTCACCACCGCGTTGCCCAGCAACCCTGACGCGGCAATCTGTCGCATTGCCAAAATATTACACCAGTTCCTTGAATTAAGTTTCATGTTGAAAATATATTAGTTTATTCTTCACGTCCAAATAATAATTTTATTTTGAGCGTACGCATTTTTGAATTGTGTCGGATTTAAGGATCGATTCCGGAAGGTCAGGATCGCCTCAAATTCTGCAACATTGCATCATTGATTCGCTTGGCAACATCACATCTCGTACATTCCAAGGCAAGGTTTCTATCTCTATGATCAGAGTTGAGCGATTTTGCTCAGTACTCATCTAGCGCTGATTGGGGAGAGTCATCCTGCTTCGAAATGGTTAATAATTGTTTGGATTCTATCTCTTTCCTACATGTGTTGACTTTTCGCGTTCTCTCTCATACACATTGAACTCAAGCGGTCAGATAAATTTGGTTTTCCCTGTATATGACAAATATATAACTTCATTCATTTTAGGCAAATGAAGATAAAGAAAATCTGGAAAAGGCTAAAGAAGAGTTGCACGCAGTTCTGGATGGAATTGAAGAAGTATTTTATATAGCCAGCTGTGACAGAGGTCCCATTTTAGATTTACTAGGTGATTACTATCTTGCTATTACCATGCGATTTCACGTAACTTTATACATTATTTGTCACAGGGAATAGCTCTGACATTAATTTGTTCAACGTGAAGATATACTTGGGAACGATAGAGAAGAAAATATCCAGTATAGTGACGAAATTATATTTTGCTGAAAAAGCTGTGAGTACTTGTGCTCAACTGAAGGATATGTCCATGTTAAACCTACCCTGTACTTACAGATTCTGAAACATTCTAAAAAGTTTTCCAGCAAGGAAGAGCCCGTCACACCAATTCAATGAAAGATGAGCTGTGAACGTCAAAAGTGTAGTAGGCCATCACTTATTATTACAATTGGAACACTTCGAAAAATATTATATTTTTTTACCTTTCAGAGCATTTTGGTATATACAAAGGACAAAGCGTACTATAACAGTTTTGCAATACAGTTTTATTTATTGACATCGTCAAAGTAATTTCCACCACATTCAATACACTTCTCCATCCGCCAACACGAGCTCTGCCAAGTTTCACCCGAGAGTGCGGCACACTCGTCCCAAGCCCTCAGAAGGTCATCATCGCTAGAAAAGCGTTTTCTTTGTAACTTCATTTTCACATGCGGAAACAGAACAAAGTCGCAGGGTGCAAGATCTGGTCTGTAAGGAGGGTGCTCAATAAGTTTCAGTCCAGTAGTGGTCAAATACTCGGTGCAGGCTTTAGCGGTGAGCTAGAGTGTTGTCATGGTGGAGCTACCAAGTGTCCATTCTTGACTTTGGCCGCAGGTTTCTCATAGACTCTATGACTTTAGGCAGGCACTGTTCCGTGTACCACTTAGCTGTGATTGTCTTTTGTGGGTCCAAAACGACCCGCTCCACAACCCCGCTCGATTTGAAAAACACAGCTATCATTTTTTTTTAATAGATCGGGATTTTCTGACAGCTAAGGGTGTGTTTTCATCATCAAAGACCCAAACTTTGTTTTGACCCTTGGTCAGCACATCGTAATAATAGAGCCAAGGCTCGTCACCTGTCACGATGCTGTTCACATAGCCTTATCAAACATTTTCAGCATCTTTCGGCACCAAGTCTTCTGCTCTTCCGCCAGACTATACGGTACCCAGAGAGAACAAAGTTTCCTTACGTGTAAATGGTCATGCAGAATTGAATGAACGGCTGGTGCATGAAGGTGTAAGGTCTCCTCTATCTGTTGGTATGTCACTCTCCGGTCTTCGTCAAGCGTTTTTCCTCACAGCGGAAACGTTTTCCTCTGTTACTGACGTTCGCGGCCTTCCTTCCCTCTCAGCGTCCTCCAGAGTGAAATTGCCCCTTTGGAATTCTTTGTACCACCTGAATATGGTCGTACGATGAGGACAATCATTCTTTAATGCAAGCGTCATTTCTTCTCAGCACTGGTCTAAGGTTGAACCACGCGTAAACTTATACTGTAAAAATGCACTCAAGGACATGTCTCAACATGCAGGCTTCTGTGTCCGTTTGTTAAGTCATATTGCAACGCTTTTATAGTACGCTTGTATGTTTCTGTTCCAAATCCCTGAGATAGGGTCAAAAATATACATTTGATACAAACGCAGGGAAATCAAACACAATACTATATTCACCAGTTTTTCTTGTCGCATGATCAAAGTTACAGAAAGTAAGGACAATATAAAAGCATACCTAACAAACTAATTCACATACATGTCAACTAAATTCGAAAGAACGATAAGTAATTTGCTGTACTTAGGTAAAAGGCAGTAAGTTTAGTGTTTGCCTTTTTTAAATATTGACACCAATACATTCCTTTTATGATTACAGTTACAAAATGTATCGTTAATTACGTTATTTAACAAGAAAATAGTTAGATTTTGCTTTGTCAAATATTTCATAGCCACTACATTTCCTAAGCATACAAGTAGTAAATCAATTTACCAAAGCAAAAAAGCAGTAGTCTTCAAACTATACTGCTTTTATTCTCTGTATGATACAAGTACTGTCTTTTTACTCTTTTATAACCTATTATAATGTTTACTTATTTAGTTTTTTATGTAATAATTCGATTATATGTGAATAAGTATTTATCATTATAAATAATTACACTTACTATGAAAGAATAATTTTTGAAAATTTCTTTATTTAACTTGACATATTAGAATGTTTATTTATTTATATTTATATGTATAATTATCTTTGTTGGATGTGATTATTAAATGTAATCATATAATTATTATGATGAATGATTAGATGTTGAAAAGAGTTTGCTTTTGTGCTATTTATGAGAATTTAAATATGAATAAATTATATGAAAACAATATAAAATTGCATTTCTGCATTATTCCTTTGAACGAATAATACAAGTGCATTGTGAAAAACACAAAAAAGGCCAGTGAAGTATAAAAGCACTTAATGCTGTTTGATTTACAATTAATGCCGGAATGTAATTTATTTTAGACCTCAACAACAATTATGATCCGAAATCACATTTAAATGACTGTCTATAAAGTCATGTAACTATTCACTCATTCTTTTTGTTCAGTCGTAATAATACTATTCATTTAAAAAATCCAGAATTCCAGAATTTTCAACTCAATATTCTCAGACTTTCACACTTTACCTAAGTACGGCAGTAATGCCCATCAATAATCGCAATGATATCAGTCAACCTGCTTTATACAGTCTGCTAACCAATTCTACATTTCTGGGACCGCACAGGTAACTGAAATACATGTACACACAGAATAGACACAAATATAGTGTTGTAAAACTAACTAAAAAAATGTTACATTCTAGCATACACCAACCAAATTTGTCTGACGGCTCGAGTTCAATATGTAGGGGAGACAAGTGTGTATAGAAACATATGTTAGAAAGAGATCATCCCTAGCAACGCTGACCTGGCAATCTACCGCGTTACCAATATGTTACACCAATTCCTTGAATTAAGATGAATCTTAAAAATAAGCGTTAGTTTATTTTGAGCGTACACATTTTTTAATTGTGTCCAATCTGTTTACGATCGATTCCGGTTCAACACACAAATTCTGCAGTATTGCATTATCGGTTCGATTGGTACCGCATCTCGTCCAATCCAAGGCAAGGTTTCCACCTCCATGACCATAGATGAGCGAAATGGTTTTCACCTGAGTAAACGTAGGCAGTGATAATTTGTATTATAAAGGTTTTTCAATAGCTATGTCCGAAATCTGGCAACATCTTGCTCTGACGATTCAGGTGGCAGTTCCTGTAAGACGCAGAAACGCGCGGTCAAGTGTAGCTGAAAACCCAAACCTTTCGATTTCGCGTCGTGTACAAGCAATTGGCCTTTCTGCGAACTGGCGCCCCAAGACCACCAAGCGCGTCGTACTTTCGCTGATTGGGCTCTGAAATAGTTTGGGAGCGGATCTAAATTTTGTCAAAAGAATCATTTTCAGTGATGAGGCACATTTTTGGTTAAACGGCATCGTGAATAAACAAAATTGTCGCATTTGGGGAGACAGTAATCCACAACAGTATCAAGAGTCTCGATTGCATCCGAAAAATCTTACTGTTTGGTGTGGGTTTTGGTCAGGCGGCGTCATTGGACCGTACATCTTCCGAAACGAGAATGGCGAGACGGTGACTGTCAACGACGCCCGGTATCGGACCATGATAAGTGACTTTTTATAGTCTCAATTGGATGATATGGACCAGAACGACATGTGGTTCCACAAGACGGCGCAACGTGTCAAATATCGGCCATTACATTGCAGTTGTTGCAAGAAAAATGTCCAGTACACGTTACTTCCAGAAGATTCGATGTGGAATGGCCGCCAAGTTCGTGCGACTTAAGGCCCTTAAACTTTTTTCTCTGGGGTTACGTTAAGACGCTGGTTTATGACAACAAACTAACAACAATTCACCAACTAGAGAACAACATCATTCAAACCATTGGTGAGATCCAGTCCGACTTATGCAGCAGAAATTCACACAATTGGACCTCTCGGATCGAGTCCTGTAAACGAAGCCTCGGAGGCCATTTGAATGATGTAATTTTTACATTTTTTTTAATGATGTAAAATGTAACAAAAACTCAAGACATGTCGATTTTATCACCATCGGTGAAAATCAAATATGATTCTAAAATAAATTAAAACACCAAGACGCATTAAAATTGAAATAAATAATTCTAATCTAAATGAAAACCTAATATTGAATTAAATGTTCCAACTGACCTCCTTTTTGGGTTAGACAGTTACCTAACCTATTGTAGAAGCATATGTTTACATTTTCTGGTGGAACATATTGGCAACACGGCAGATCGCACGACTTTCTGCGTGACCGTCGCTAGGCAACGTGGTGTTGACTTTCGTTCTTCAGCCGGCCTTTCTAACATGTGTTGATATACACTTCACGCGCTTCTCTCTCGTACGCGTTGAACTCAAGCCGTCAGACAAATTTGGTTTTCACTGTATAGTACCGCGAAGTATCAAATAAATAAACATTTTTGATTTATAAACCAAGCACGCGAATAATGAATTATAACTACTGAAGATTCACTGCCACAATTACAATCACACTTTTCGTACAGAATCATCACCCATCTCTAGCCTCCCTAGAATCCAGTTGCTCTTTGAAATTCACACATTTAACATGGCTTTGTGAACAATATTTTTAAGATTTGATCCACCCTCCAGGGAAAATTTCATTCTCTCTGCTATTCAAAAACTGTCACAAAATACGAAAAGCTTCCACTTGCTGATGTTTAAATGGACCCCTAGAGAACATTCCTGCAGGCGCCAATGTATAGGACATGACTCTCATACACACAGGGAAAAGATTTTTTAAGAATAACATTCACTCAGAAATAGTAAGATTCTATATGGTTATTCCATGATTACGACGCTAGAGACTGAAGATTTGGCTTGGAATCTTGCACAGATATTCAAAATTTTATAAAGTACATGGACCAGACAATTGTCAAAAATGTTAATATTCAATTTAACCATCCTTCTTTACAACACTATGTATCAAACCTCAACTAACACTTAATTTTTTTTCATCAAAACTATCCTTATGCTAACTTAAAGAACTGGAACTATTTTTTATGCACCTTTGGTGCAGGACTTCCATTGACTTCAGCTTCTTCTGAACTCCTCTTAAATGAGAACTTTTTTTCATTCTCTGAAGGCAATTCTACCTTCTTTGAAAGCTCTTCCAAGGTGTAGTTTCGCGTATTTTCTATCTTCTCATTGCAAGTACTGCATAGTTCTTGCTTGGGCTTACAGTTGTTGCATATGGTGTGACCGGTTAAACATTGCCAAATTGGAGGTGACATGTAGCTTTTGCATAAAGGACATTCTAGAAGTTGAAGGAATATCTTCTTCGCTTTTCGAATCAGCGCGTCCCTCATTTCGATTTTGTTTTCGTCTTTCACCTTTTCTTCTTTCAGTTTATCTAAAACAAATATAAGATATTGTCTAAGTGACATCATGCAAACAATGAAACCGTATGGCAAACGGCTCTAGAAATACACACAGTGGCTCCAAATATTCATTCAGACAGTCTACAATATACTTCCATGCACAGAGGACACACATAAAATGAGTACCATAAAAAGGTGACCAAAGTTCCAACCTATGATTCATTTGTGCAGATAGATCAAAGAAAAATGTCTGATTATTGTACATTATGGTTAACACTAGGTATCAATAAGCAAATACGTTCAAAAATTGCTTAGCTCAATGGTACAGAATAGTTTTTTTAGGCTTGTGTCTGTAGCAAGCTGAAATGATAGTGAATAGTGATGTTAACTCTGCAGCCATAATGTTAATGCACAATGTCATTATACTTTTCATCCAAACGTCGGGTTCACAGCAACCGCCCTAATAGTGGAAAGTCAACACCACACATTTATCTTCCGTATATGATGTGCGATAACGATAAAACGTTAGCAATACAAAATTGCGCGAAATATATTTTTGTCATACCTTCAACTTTCTCGTCAACACTGATAGCATAAGTCAAAGACCCTGTGCCAAACATCTTCTTGATGCTATCTCTGTTAATCCTAGTGGTCATCCGCCTGGAAATGTCTTTCCTGTTATCTCGGTATGGATGGAACTTTGCTTTGCAATTTCCACTGGCACATTTAAAACAATGTTCACGTTCGCTGAATGAGATCACATTCTGGTTTGAGATGGTTATTGTGAAGTTGCACTTATCCGATTTTATTTTTACTTCATATTGGAGGTGGTTATCTGTTGGATCAGTTGACAGTACACTGAGACCTAGATCAAACAACAATTAGTAACTTATGATCACAGGTAAAAGAATGTAAAATACCATTTTTATATCGACATAATATGATTAGCTGTTTTTCTTGAGAAATCATCAAAAAAATTGATTTAGTATGTAAAGTATAATATAATTAACATGAGAAGATTGTAAACCAAAACCACAATTACAGATATTATATAAATTATGAATCTCGATATAAATATGTGTAGTTAGGAATCATATTTTACTGAGGCACGTCATTAATATATAATAAACTAGGTAAGATCTGTATGGGGATGCTTGTTTTTAAACAAAACATTGGATATAGACAAACAGAGAATATGCTTCAGAGCAAGGACATGGCCTAAACTCAAAGAATTTATCTCTTTATGCCATCCTTTATACGCTGGCATTCAGGGGCGGCTGGCCCTTAAGTTCTGCAGAGCTGCAGATGTGTCAAAACTTTTGTCTTAACAGAAAAAAGCAGTAGTAATTTGATCATTATTTATTTTCCATGTTATCACACAAATAGAAACAAGACCGGCAACGCTGCCCCCCCAAGATACGGCGTCGAGTCTGTTTTGTATTGAGAAAGCATTATAATCGACCAATTGTGTACTTGTCATTTTCGTCGCGACCGCAGCGTAACATTATTCATGGGCCACTTGAAAAGGGTCTGTGCACTACTTCGACACAGGTCACACGCGCTTGCTTTTGTCTCTCTCTACAAAATCAAATGGGCGATTTAAGCATAAGCATGTGCTGCACGTTATACAGATCCGTACAGATCTAATGCGAAGTACGATATCTGATTGGTCGGTCGGTATAAAATTTTGGGGAGCATTTGAATTGGCGCTACGGGGCCACGACGAAACCAAGAGCTCCCAAAACCCGGGAATATTTCGTGGACTGATTAATTTTTCTGCTGAGCTTGATACAACCTAAGGCGAACACATAAAAAATGCTTCAATATTTAAAATAAACTTCGAAAGAAATACAAAAGGATCTACTGGATTGTATTCTTGAAGTCTGTCTTGAAGAAATAATAAAACAGATTAACAGAGCCTTGTATTTGGCCACAATAGCAGATGAAACAACGGACATTTCGGGGAAAATCCAACTGGTAACAATTTTCAGATACGTATTTAACGGCGAACCAGTAGAACGTTTTTGGAATCATATGAATTCAGAAAAATGTGACGCTGATACTCTCACAAGACATATTTTGAGCGTCGTAGATCCATTAATAGGAAATTTTCCTAATAAACTGATTTCACAAAATTATGATGTAACCGCGGCAATGAGCAGACATAATGCTGGAGTACAGGCAAAAATTAAACAAAGATATCCCTTTCCTCACTATTGCTATGCGCATCAGTTAAACTTGATTATGTCCTAAGCTGCTTCCGCAAATGCTCAAGTTCGGCTGTTCTTTGGGGATTTGAAAGATATTCCAGCATTTTTTAATAATTCTCCTCAATGCGTAGAGGTACTGATCAGAATTGTGGGGAAAAAATTAACCACGGAGCAACAACTCGTTGGAATTTTAATATTCCAACAATAAATGTAGTGTTTGAGAACAGAGAATCACTCGTTGAATGCATGGAAGAAATAGGAGAAAATTTCACTAATGAAACCGTTTGCAAGGCAGCTTGCGGTATTTGCCGTATGTTAAACGATTCTGTTTTCGTGTTTTGGTTGACATTTTTTCATCATGTCATGCCTCACATCGACATTTTGTTCAACCAGTTGCAGAAGAGAAAAACCGAGCCAGCGCAACTTAAAATGGCTATCGATAATTTTGAAAAATGTATTGTCGATGTGAGAAATAAAATTGATGACATAATAAATGAAGCCAAAAGTATTTGCACTGAACCCCAGGGCAACAAAAGGAGACGACGTAATAATAGCAGTCACGATAACCGAGTTGCCGCATTAGAAGTATGCGACAATATAGTGAATTCTGCAAATGACAGATTTCAATCCAAGGTCATTTGGTAGCCGCATCCCTTTTTTTCCCCGAACACTTTGGAGAATACTGTGGTAAGTTTCCTGATAACAAGTTGGAAACTACCTGCTTGGTTTATCCCGAATTATAAAAAAGTCGTTTAAATACAGAGTTGTCTGTTATTTATGCACGAATAATTGCTGAGATTTACATCGAACTCTGCTCTTTTGAAATTTTTGATACAAAATAGTTTGGAGGAAACACTAAAAGAAACAGAAAAGCTATTACGAATTATTGTTACAACTCCTATGTCAACATCAGAGGCTGAGCGAAATTTCTCAACATTGAAAAGAATCAAGACTTTTCTTCGTAATACTATGACCCAGGATCACCTTAGAGCATTGTCGATGCTGTACATTGAAAAGGAATTTATTTTGACCATGGAAAATTTCAACGGGAAGGTGATTGACAAATTTGCTGCCAAGAAGGTGCACAGGATCGAACTGACATATAAAAAATAGGTAAGTTCGGATTTGCAGAACACCTGTTTTATTTTGCCACGAGCCGCCACTGCTGGCATTATTAAATATATATTTTTTTAAACATATATTTGTGACATTTTCTGACAAAAACATATGACTGAATTCAACAAAATGTATGGGCCCTGAAAGACTTTTGTACTATTCTAATATGCTAATAGTTCCAACTAATATAATAATTAAGTATAATGAATTAAGACAACTTTTATTTTTTTTAACCCTTAGATCAGGTTTTGATCTTTACTAGAAAGCACAAATTACTGCCAATAAGATGTTTAGAATTTGTTGCTGATGACATATTTTTCTTTCATAGAAGTATGGCAATGTTTGAAAAGCGGCGAATTTCTATACTGAGAAATAAAATCAAAAAAATTTAAGATTCATACAATTATAGTGATTGAAATGAACTCACCAAAATTAGCTTCATCAAAATCAAAAAACCCTATAAATGACTTCCCATCCTTCTCCAATACATCAATATTATAATAAGCATAAGCGTTTTTAATGTTGAAATAGCTTGTATGGAATGCATCATTATGCTTTTCCTTGAAATGTTGCCCCATCTTCAAGATTTTGATAGAATCTGTACAGCCTGATTTGGGGCAAATAGTGGTTCGCTGTTCACAGATTTTCTCATGGTCCTTCACATCAACAAAAGGTATCTTTTTTTCACATCCTTTATAGATACATGGGAACACCATCAACTTAGCCACACTTTCATAAATTGTGGCTCGGGTGTTGATGACAGTTTTAACGGCACTGCATCTGCCACACTTGTACTGTGAGCCATCATCAGATATTAAGGCGATAGGTGTTACAGAAAGGTAACAGTCGCACAAGGAACATTTTAGAGTTTCCGTTACTGAGTCTGGAGGGGTAAACATTCCGTCCATCATGCGAATAAAACCGCGTTGTGTAGCCCAATTAGACCAGGATTCTGAAAGAGGTAGAGCAGGTGAACTACAAATAGACGAGAGATCACTGCGAGTGAAAAAATTTGAAGTACTTACTTAGACTTTGGGTAATAAGGTTTTGGCCAAAAAACAAACGAAAACACCGATGAATATTGATTGCTTTGAGAAAGATAGGTTATTCCGGGTTATACTCTGACGCCACCAACGAATACCACAGATTGACATTGACAGAAATATGACAACAGATAACATTGGAGCGGTACGAACAGACAACACCGACATTAGCGTCTAAAGTCCCTCCCAGACATTGTGGTGCTGTTTGGATAAGTAAATCACCACTGCGATCACAGGATAAGCTAAGAACGTGGAAAAGGGAAATAATATTAGAGCAAAAGAATTGTATAAATGGGGCGTTTGGTGTGTGCAGGTAAATTTAAGTGAAATCAAGCACCAGAACAGGGTCGAAGCTACGGTTGAACTAGCCCTGGATGAAACATAATTCGGCACCCTACTTAGCTGATGACAATTTACCAATGGGGCGTGGAGTAGGTGATTCTCGTTGATGATCTACAGATTGATTATCTTATTTGATCACAGATTCAGTTTAGGTAATGTTTCGATGCTAACATGGTGATTGCCGACCGAATCCATAGATTTTAATATTTAAGGCACCCTGAAATACGTGTAATTTCCTAAACTCCCACTTCTCTTTTGTCAAAAAAGATACACGTCTGTGACGGCCTTAATCACGCTTTAACAACATATCGTTCAAACGAGGCGCCGTTGCCGGCTCGAAAATCTGTAAGGGAGGCTTAGAAACCACGCAGTTGTCATCTTGGGATACGCATAAAACCATAGAACATAATTATTTGACAAGTGAGCTGACAGCAAACGTATAATTTTTAGGTTCTGCGTAGGGTTATGTGATGTCTGTGTACCAAATATTTTTATATCGTCTAAAAATTATAGGTTTTTTCAGTACTGCTACTTTGCGATTGTGTAAAAAATAAGCTCGGTGTGAAAGAGAAAGGACAATGAGGCTATAACACGTGTATTATTGTATCATATCTACAGTATCAGTATTTTTCATCTGAACCAAAATAAGTTTGAACAAAAATGATGGAGGTTCCTGAGCATGGTTATGCTTTCAATGACAATTCTATGGAAGTAGACCCACTGGCACTAGTAGATACAGCAATAAAAACGGAAATTAAAGAAGATCCTGACCAGCTCCCAGAAAATACTGTACAACATGAACTTTTACAGCATGGGGAGCAAAGTGAAGACTACCATGGGATTAAAGTTGAAGAAATGGATGAGTCTCATTTTCATATTGCCAGTAACTCTGATTTACCCAGTATACATGATGTAGGATCTGCACAGTTAGATGCTTCTGACAATTCTGTAGTATCTTCATCAGTTGTTAGAGGATTGCAAAATGATTATCAGGTATTTTTTCATTCATGGTAACATAATAATTTATTTTTCTGTATTAGCTCTATAAATATGAATTCATGAATCTCTAACATAACATTCACATCTAGCATGGGCGTCACCAGAAAAGAAAATATGGCATGCCATAAAGTCATTTTCAATGACGTGATTACGACATATCAGTAGGACGAATGAAGTGCAGGGTTGCCAGATGGATCGAACAGAATTCCCCCAGAACAAGCACAAAAATCCCTCAGATTTGAAATTTTGGGAGGTGAATAAAATAAAAACTATATTTTCCAGCGAATTGAAACTATTTTCAAACTTGTTAGAACAAATTGTTTATTGAGTTACGATTGCGCATACACGTAGAACGATACACGCATTCGTTGTCCCTTTGGCATTTGGGGATTGGGAGCAAATCAGTGCAATGTCACGTCTAGTTCTATCTCTCGAAACACGCGTGTGAGACAAAGCTAAAATCGCTCCCACACGATGTGGCAAATGCCTTACAGCGTTGGACTCACGGCCATTCGCCACATCGCGTGGGAGAGCGCTGACAGATTGCGTGGGTCCAACGTTTTCCACATGGCACGTTGGGGCTCTTGTAAATTTGACCCGCGTCAAAGTACGGTACAACGTTGGAAGCATGGTTCGTTACGCTTTCACACGAGATGTCATGTGTTTGATGGTTTTAGGTTAGAAACAGTAGCGGCGAAAAATATTATTTACTTGTTTGCTGTGATTGCAGTGAAATATTTTGATTTGAATACCTACCTATTCATAATAATGTATGTTACGTAACTAACTTTTGAGGAGAATGAATTAAATTAGTATACATACGAAGCATAGACTGCCATAAAAACACTTTTTTCATATTGCTAATATTTTGTATGTTTCGCAGGTAACTTATGACTGGCCTAAGGATATGTATTTTAGTAAATTATAAATTATCAAGTGCTTACAGTTGTTTCTTTATGTCATGTTGCAATGCAAGACTAGTTGAAAAACATATTTCATAACTAACGAAAACGATTAAATAAATGATAACTCTGAAAGTACTAGCGGGATTTTGATGAAATTTTGACCCTAGGTTACTACTATGAAAATGACGAAAAAACTGTACAGTTTTTGAATATCGGTAAAGTGGCGGCAGAGTTATCGTCGAAAAATAAACAAAAATGGTCAAACACGGCGTATACAACGTTTGAAGCATCGTGTGGGACCCGCATAAATCAATCTACATCACACAACTTATTCTGTTTCACTCAGTTCTATAACTATGGATGCATATCTACCGACCTAAAATTGCAGAGAAAGGTCAGCGTAGATGTTTTGTGGAGATGGGTGGGGCATGGGGAAAGAGAAAACTACAGAAAGAGAAAATTGTTATTTAGCAGTTGACAGTTTTTCGTAGTTAAAGATGGAATAAAACATTTTATCCCCCAAAAATTTCCCAAGGGACGTAAAAATACCCCAAATTTGGGGAAAATCTCCTAATATGGCAACCCTGATGAAGTGTCCCAAAATATGTTTTTAGTGTCTGTGATGCCAGTGGCAAACAACGACATCTATTTGGAACACCATGATATGCTTTTTCTGTTTTTTCTTTTGTAATGATTAACATACAGGCTCCAAGAAAATGTCCTAGTCATATACTGTATTTGGGTGATCTTAAACCATTTCCATCTTTACAGCCATCTTGAAAAGTAAGGAAACGTGGTCTGAGAAGGCATAGATTTTGAAAGGTCATTGTTTTGAAATATATAGCAATTCTATAGCAAAGAATACCTTATTATTAACAAATAAATCTATAAATTCAACATAAATTATAATATCTTCGAAAAATGATCAAAAATAGAACTAAACCCATCTCACCCAATCCCTATGGGTACTAATAGCACTCGCATGATCCGCTCAGATCGTGGGCAGAGCAAACTAAACATGCTGTTTATGATCTTTGTGAGTAGGTTTATTTGCAGCTATCACAAATAACCTGTCAAGTTGTTTTCGGTAGTCATGTACATTCCATTTCTGCGTGACCCCACTGACGGCAACCTTGCATTGCAGTCAAGGGAGCCTCGGTAGTTCGGTAGTTAGCACGTCAACCTAGCAACCCGGGGCTTGCGGGTTCGAATCTCCGCCTCGGGGGTTCGAATCTCCGCCTCGGGGGTTCGAATCTCCGCCTCGGAAGTTTATTCCTTGGTATGGGTGTTATGTGTTTTGTCTATATCGGCAAAAATGGTCAAAGGTGCCCTAGTTGTCAGGGTTCGCCTCCCCACCACCACTGAAATGAGAATAGTTCCAGTCTCAATGCAGAAAATTCCATTTGGAACTTCAACCTCCAAATGAATCTGTTTCTCGTCATTAGAATTTGCCAATACGATTCATTTTTGAACTTGTCGAGAGACTGAGAGCTCAGGCACAGAAGAATCGACAAGGTCATTTGTCTGTGACATTTGAAGGGCCATATATCCACTCTGGGAAAATGTTATCATTTAAAAGGAAATACCACTCGCAGCAAATCTATATTGACCATTGATTATTGTGGCCGCTCGACAATAAACCTGCTTGAAAAGCTCAACAACTTGGACATGTGTGATAGTTCGTCATTCGTCCTGGATGGTTTATTAACCACTTGTACAAATCTTGATTGAAGAACACATATTGTTTTCATTCCAGACCTGTCTAGCTGATTCTTTGTTGTATGACGCCATCCCAAAATGAAAAAGGCACATTTTAGATCACAATCCTCGCGGAAATTGCAGGTGTAAAATAATATGAATGACTATTCACAAAACCACTTATTACGATTTCCGTAAAGATTATGTATGGGTGAGTCAGCATAAGCATATGCCATCTTACCCTGTATGTAAACGTAGCATTTCGATTATACCAGAAGTTACATATCTCTATTTGGAACATTATATTCAACATCCTCGGCCCTATAAGTACCACCACAAACTTGAGGAGAAGATAGGCTTTGGACTGACCTCCCAAATAACAAAAACCTACCTATATTAAAGGGTCACTGCATTACTACCTGCTCCTGATATGATTTTATGGAAACAATATCAGAAGGTTATAAATCCCAAAACAGTCCTTATTTTATCATGGTTTCTTAATATCTTCTAACTACATTGCATTTGTATATGATACAGCAACTATGTAGAAGTATTTTATAGAAAAAATGAACAAAGTATAACCTTATTTGTACATGCAGCTAAACACCACTGATGAAAAGGTTCGTTCTTTTAAATTTAAGAAAAAATTCAACATCTCAAAAACGCTGACACTTTTATATATGTAAGTTTTTGTTATTTGGTAGTTCAGTCCAAAGCCTGCCTTCTCCTTAAGCTTGTCGTGGTACTTATTGGACACCCTGTACATTTGTATGTATATACAATTTATATTCCGTCGGAGATACTCACAATTTAGATTGTTTTCGGATGGAACAAACATTTGTGCGAGGTCAATTTGATGAAAACAAACGTAGTGCCAATTCTGTTGTTATGAATCACTGACAACGAACTTGTAGCGGCATCTCCCCCTCATCGATTGCTTTACTTGGCCTTCAAATTATGAACATACACATATATCTCAGTCCGTATGCTATCTCATCAGATTCATCTGTTTCTTTTGAAGAAACTTGCTTCCTAAACATGACAAAAACCTTCCATAAGATTTCGTGTTCTTAGAACTTCTGAAAGAGGGAAAAAGAAAATTCCTCAACAATCGTTAACAGTTCGGTGACTGACGACACTGATACCTGAAGAGGGTGGTCGATATTTGTAAGCATACATGGTTGGTGGTACCATGGTACGTATGCGTATGTTCGCGCAGGTACGGATTTTAATTGGATTGCATAACGTCTGGGGGAATATGTTAATCAATGGTAATGCTATTTATTTTACAACATTCTATTAATTCCAGGATGTTAAAAATAAGTATACTCATTCAATACTAACGTTGAGGAGACAGTCGGATGTTTTGACACAGACACATGCAGAGATGCAGATGGAGATTGTAGCATTGAAAGCAGACAAGGCTAATCTTTGGAATGATTTGGCAGCAGCAACAGCTAAGGAATGTACATATCTTAGACAGATTGAGGAACTTAAGAAAAAACATGACCAGAAAATGAAAACACTTAAAAACAACTATGAAAGGTAAAACACTTTTATGTTATGATTAATCAAAATCTAGAATGAAACAAGCAGTATTTTAATGGCTAGAGATATATTGTTCGTATCTATCAAGTAGAATGCAATTTGTAAGCTCTGAGGGCATCCGTCTCCGACCTGCCTATATGCAGCGGGGTACTGTAGTGATCAGTTCGTCTGCTATTACCATCGATAACGGATCCTGCTTATTTGCATCTTCCTGTCTAGCCCTAACCAAAATATTATATTAACCCTGGCTGCTTTCTGTTCTTCAGTCAACAGGTGGGGTATCCAACGAGAAACTAATTTTCTTACTCCGAATTCTTCATGTAAAATTTTTTGAATTGAGGTCTTTGAGATCTTCAAGGACGCCTCAATCTCGCGATATGTCACATGTCTATCTTCAATGCTGAGTTTGCGCACAGCATCGACGTTTTCCTGGGTGACTGCCGTTTTTGGTGCACCCACCCTGGGATCGACGCTAAGACTCACCCGTCCACGTTTGAATTCTCCATACCAACTGGAAATTGCCGACTGATGTGGCGCTTCGTTGCCAAAAACAGACAGTAACTCAGCAAGGCATTCTTGTTGCGATAATTGTATCTGAAAGTTGTAATAAATTATAGCGCGAAAATGTTCTCGGTTGAGTTCCATTTTTCTAATGACTTGGTGACACTGAAACATTCACTGTAGTGAGAACACTGCACGTATAGTTGTGAAACTTTGAATTTAAGTTTACTAAAGAGAGAGGTTAAGATTCAGTACTGACGTTCGATCTGCGGGGCCTACTATGTTTCTATATGCAAAACTTAAAAGACATCCCTCGTACCTAGTCTGAATTCGTTGATCTAAACCAAGTGTTACATGTTACTTGACCATTCACTTCAGTGTGCAATTTAAAAATAAACCTCTTTGAAGCATGCTGAATATGCCTAAATCATGTTCCCACACATAAAACTAACCCAAGAACGACTGGATCGCCCTTATCTAAATAGTACTGACTTAAATTTGGAAAATGTTATGTTAGATTCATTCTTCTCCAAAAGAATAATCCTCGCTTGAATGTTTATGAACCCAAAATTAATGCATAATGGTTATTGCCCTGAAATTACATTGCATGAAATTCTTTAAATTAAAACCAGCATTTTCATTTTCTCCGAACGAAATGAAGAACGATATAAGAAAAATAGAAATTTATTTTATAGAGGTAATGGAGTTCTTTACACCTATTTGACAACATTTTTGAATTGGTATGGGAATTAAAAAAGTTATAAAAGAAAAGAAGGTAAATTGATAATATTGACTCAATAGGTCTAGATTTTAATAATATAAAGATTTCTCTTGACAGCACAAACCTGTTCTTATTTTCACAGCTTTATATGTACTATTAGTCTCAATATGAACCAATTTTAATACCTCATTCTTTTTCGTTTTCTGCTTCACGTGAAATGTCCATATAGAAATATGCAACATGGATTAACGTTATATCAAGCCGTTTGGAGTGACAGCCTTTACAACGCGTTCAACATTTTTTTTGTATATTTCACGCTGTAGCATTGGTTGGTTGGATAGATGCTAACGAAATGATAAAAGCGTGACGTTTTTATTGGTATGCGTATGCGGTATTTCATCTTTCTTTATTTATGGGTGTTGTCGAAACCTGTAATAAGAGACAACTTCGGTTTGTTTTGAGGTAAATTGATATGTTTGTTTACAGGTTACTGCTTGAACAAAATGGACATGTAGAAGAAACAATATGGAGAACAGCAACAGTTTTGGGACACAAGGTCGAGCAATTGGCAGCTTCCAACAAAAATTACTTAGGGATTATAGAAGCTTTGAAGGATAAATTAAAATTACAAGAGCAATATAAATTAGCAGTTGAAATAAAGAAAACTTCCCTCAATCATAAAGTTAACACACTGCTCGAAAATATTAACGATCTACATATCAAGCTTTTGAAAGAAAGGAAATCTGCCGGGAATTATTTGCTCCTCTACAAACAAATGGCGGCTGAAAATACTGCACTCAGGAATCAAATACAAGAAAAAAATTCAGTTCTAATAGTGCTCAGAGATCAGATTCACAGTAGTAAAGTGGAACTAGACAAACAAAAGCAATCATTTAAAAACCAAACCGTGGCTGGGAAAAATGCAGAAGTGAAAGCGCTGACGCTGCAAAATGATCTGAGGATGAAAATAACCCTATTGGACCAGCTGAGAGCTCAGAAGCATAGAATTATAAAGAAAAATAAAGCACTGATCAATGAATGTATAACGTTGACTGAGAAACTGCAGGGTACTAACGTGGAGCTGAAGCAGTTAAAAACTGAATTCGATCAGTTAAAGACTGAGATGGAGCAGCAGAAAAATAAGACTTGTGAATATTGTGGACTTTAAAGTTTGTTTTGAATATAAGTTGATTTATGATAATATGCACATTTGTTTCAAGCGGAGTTAAGCTTTTGTGTAGAATAACAATTAAATGTATTGAGATTTTTTATAAAAGCTATTTAGGTTTGTTTAAATCGCATTCTTTTGAAACATTTGTAATTAAGTTTGGACCGTGTAAACATTACACAGTATGGAGGTTGAGAGCAATGCATTAACCGCCCAAAATTAGCGCCCCAGTGCTTTGGAAGTTCCTAATGACATTATTTTTGAACTTCCGAATATATCGCATTTTATCTAAATGGATTTGTTAATAAGCATAACTGCAGGTATTGGAGCAATGGAAATCCTCATGCTTTTGTAGAAGGGTATACCCAGTGCCATCAAAAAATTAATGTTTGGGCAGGCATTTTAGGAAACAGAGTGATTGGGCCGTTGTTTATTGAAAACCAAATCGAAGACGATGGAAACCCTATACTTGATGAGGCTGAAATATATTTCCAGCAAGACGGCGCTCCTCCTATAGAATGGCCTGCTATATCTCCTGATTTGACGCCATTAGACTTTTTTCTATGGGGTCATTTAAAATCTATTGTGTTTACTCTCCAACCTGAAAGTTTGGATCAACTTCGTCAACGCATCATCGAAAGCTGCCATGATATCCCACATGTTTTTGAAAATGTCCGTTAGGAATTTGAATATCGCATATATCATTGTTTGACCAATAACGGACAACATTTTGAACACTTATTGAAATTAAAAAGTGATATTTTCGTGTGTTTTTGTTTTCTATCTGAACAAATTAAGATAAATAAAGATTTTTCTAATTTTCTTGTAAACGAATCGACCGATTTTAAAAAAATGAAGGACTTCGAAATACCTTTCAAACAAGTTATTACTCGATACCTCTTGTCATTTAAAATTTTTAACTGAATGACCCTGGGGGGCAGAGGGTGAAAGGGGGTGTAGTAGTTTTTGGTTAAAAAGTTGTCCCTTCACAAATCTTTTGACGTGTCTCGGCATTTTTCCTTTTAATCGGTGATTTTCGAAATCCGTGGTGGGAAGTTTATACTCGTATATACAAACTATATCATTCATTGGGAATCGACAAATTTATAGCGACGTGAACTCTTGTGACTTAAATCTCGAGCCTTCGACAGACAATGCTGTCATCTTCAGGAGCTAAAAAACAAATTTGAAAATAGCAAAAAAGTTAGAACAGTTTAAGTTTTATTACTTAGTCGGTGAGGTTACTGCTAAGTGGTTTTTTAGAAAAATACGTGGTTGAGATCACTTGTTACGATTATAAAAACAAAAAACTGGACACATTGGGTTTGTTGTTAACGACGGAACACAGCCATGCGTAACAAACGTTTGTTTATAAACAGAACGGATTAGGCTTTTTCGCGAGTGCTCTTCTACTGGTAACTTATTTCTCTGCTACAAGTTATGAAAATAGAAACTTTGCATCGAGGATGTTCGAAGCTTATAGGCTCGGCATAAAGATTTCAGAATTCTAGCGTATCTTGCAGTCTCGAGCAAAAAGTGACTGTTGGATCACGAATATGATAGTTTGTCGCCGAGATTGACAAAATTGGTTTCAACTCTTATCCAGACTCTAAATATGGCAGATCTGTTTCTCACTGAGATGGACGGAAGGCAGAAGTACCATGATTCTATAAAATTGCATCAAGTAGATTGGTTCTACACTTCCTACGCTGTCGTTGGAAGTTTCTAGGAAAACGGATTACTCAAATCGTGACTAGGTATGTTCATTTAGGTACGATGAATCTTGGACCTCTACATATCAAACTATATAAACATATTTCTGTGTCCATGGCAGATGTAGGGAAAATATGTGTGACTCATTATGTCTAACAAGTACATAACATTACCACACATGCAACCATTTATTGCATATAGCTTGCAACATACAATGTTCAACGTGTCCAAGCAATGTCTGAAAATGAGCAGGCATGTCTGAAACGTTGTAATACTATGTTCCAGCGATTTTTATTTTTTGCTCTTAGTTCAGCTGGTACTGAATCAATTTTCAATATCTAAGACTACCTAAACCTAAATGATGTACTATAATATTGAACTCGACAATATTTAACTTCAGTTCACAAGTTTTCTGGCTTAAAGATATCTGCATCACGCAAGTTCGTGTTTCTCATTTATGTTGGTTTGGCATTGTCTATTGTATATCAGAGAGTCAATCTACTTGACGAAATATTCAGAGAACCATCATATACCGAGTAACGCAAATTAAAGGTTGGGCGAAATGGGCGGGTACATTTCCGGATCATAAATTCAGAAAAATATAAAAACAAGGAAACATTTACAAAAGCATCGCAGAGTTCTAAAGCGGTACGTACTGCTAATAGTCAAATATTACTAAAATATGTAACTTTTCCCCTGTAGCGGTGTGTCCGTGTCAACATCGAGTTCGAGTGGGTTACCTATTTATTGCATTTGCTACAGTTGGTGGTGGCTTTCGGCCTCCACATGATGCAGCGTCACAGCATCGCATCGCTCACGTAACGCCGATTGAAAGTTATTTCGAGTTATAAGCACATCTTACATCGGACTTTTATTATTCAATTTTTCCGTTATTACCGGGATCAGAAGCTTCTTAATGATCGAACCTCTTTGACTGATACTACAGATGTAACATACAATCTCCTACCTAAAATGTTCAGGATCCTCCGAAACGTCAAAAAACGAAGTTTGATCGATTCTCACTTTTTCGTTTTTAGACTTTTTTTCGCCGCCACTGTACCGACTTTCAAAAACTGCAAATGATTTTCGTTCTTGGTATAGTAGTAACATTGTGCAAAAGTTTCATCAAAATGCGGTACTTTTCAAGTAATAAAAATTCTGGATTAAGTTCACGTTGGTTGAGAAATACCCGTTAGAGAGCTTTTTGAATTAGGCAGAAGACTTCACCATTTCCGACAATTGTCTAGAACACTAGGATTGTACGTAACCACTTTCATAAATATTCGCATAAAAATACCAATTTCATCTGAAATCTCAACTACCAAACTGGCGGCTTAACCCTTATCGATGTGTCGCGTTAACTTTGATCCTGACTACATACTGAGATTTTCAAGATACACAAAATCATAGACTTGCTCTTTTTACGAGGGATGTCTTTTAAGTTTTGCTTATGGAAATAAAACAACACGGTAGGTAGTTTTAATTGACTTTATTGTTTTTCGAAATATTCTCCACGAAGATTAATACACATCTGCATGCGCTCGAACCAATTTTCGAAGCACTCATTCCACTCGTTTGCTGGCAGATCCAAAACAGCATTTTTGAATGCATCAACTGCTTCTTCTGGTGACTGGAACCTTTGACGACGCAGTCTGTTTTTAATTTTCGGGAAAGTAAAGAAATCGTTAGGACTTATGGCTCGTTTACACAGTGCGAGCTAGCGTACGAGTCAGCCTGCCGAGTAGCTGCAGTGCAGTAATTCGCATAAATACGGACGTACCTGCGAGTAACTCTACTTCAAGAATTTTTGTTTTGACTCGCCTACTGGCCCAACAGCAAAGCGCATATGGCAACAGCTCGGACGTCATTCGCATCGTTCGGACATGTTCGGCAGTAGCTCGCCAGTGTCAGCCCGCAATTACGAAGCAGAAGCTGTATTTTATGTGTGTTGCGCCAAAAGCGTTTACCCAATTCAAAATGAGCTCAGAAAGGTGGTCTTCTGAGAATAATATTACATTCATTAATCTCTACAGAGAACAAGAAAACCTATGGAATTGTTTTCATAAAAATTATAAAAATAGAGATATGAGAAAAGCATCTTTGGAATACATTACCCAAGAAACGAGTGGAATTGCAGCAGCTATTAATGAGCTTAAACAACTGAATAGCACTTACTATATACAAACTTCCAGTTGTTTTCAGCAATGTGTTGAGTACGATGTTACTGGAAAACATGTCGCTATTCAACTGAGACAGCTCCCATTACTCGATTTTATAGACGCCAAAGATGAAATCCAACAAGTACTTTCCCGATACCGAAAAAAAGCTATATATGCCCGAAACACATCTGCGTTTTCCTCATATAATACATACGTCGTCGCCAACGTCCTACATATCGCTGACATCACCAGGACCCAGTGTACCAAGTGATTTATTCCCACGACCTGTCCCAATATCTGATCGGCCTGCAGAAACAGTTTCTCGGCAGCCAGTTCAAACAGTTGTTGGACAACGATCAAATGCATCATACGAGGCTATCCACTTTAGTGATCCACTAGTCAGAGCAATGATAGATGCTGATATGAACAATATGCAATAACTTTTAACCTCTGTGTTACTTTTGTGTTGATTTTGTATGACTTGGTTTGTCTTTAATAAATGATTGAATGTATGTATGATCCACACATGTGTTATTGAATAAGTTAACTGAACCTTTGAAGTATCAACTCATGAAGCATTTACCACATTTCTACTTACCTGCAAATATTCGTCCAAAGCTTCATACATAACGTCACAAACTTCTGGTATAAATTTTGATATGGAGGATTTTGAAATTCAGAAAAATATTGCTAACAGCCTGTATGTTATCCCTGAGCTTAGAAAACACAGGGTTACTTCTAACTTTACCCTTGCTGGTATGGCATCTCTCATAAAAATGTCTTGACGCTCTATTTTCATTTTTATTGAATTTAAAAGTTTGTCAACTTGTTCGGGTGTCACTCTCAGCACTGCTTTATATTATCGGGATCTTCATGATAAAGCTCCTTGAAAATCGCACATGTTGCCCCTATAGATCGTCTTGCCATCCAATCTCTAATCCAAACCTTTTTCTTCCTCTCCTTTTTGAAGTTTTTTGTAGGATTTTTCCAATTCTTCACATAATATTATTGTCATAGACCTTATCACCGTTTTTTTAATCACAGCAAGTTGACTCGACATCGCGACAACTCGGAAGATACTTGGCAGCTACTATCATCGTGGAAACAACTGAGGCGAGTCGAGCTACTGGCATACGAGTAGACCATCCGAGTAGCTATCTACTGTCTAGTCAGCAGCTCGCACTGTGTAAAGGAGCCATTAGATCGGGACTATATGGAGGATGGTCCAATAATTCCACTTTTTCTTCCGTTAAATACTGCCTTGTTTTTTTGCAAATGATTTTCGTTCTTGGCATAGTAGTAACATTGTGTAAAAGTTTCATCAAAATGCGGTACTTTTCAAGTTATACATGGTTGTAAGGTTAGCGGACAGACAGACGGGAAAGAGTGACATGGTTTTTCGGGATGTCATACATACAAAAAACAAAATATCTTATTTTCGAAATTTATCGCGATTACAAAACTTCCTCGCCCTGGGGCCCCTGCATTGTGGAGCCCCTTGTCTACCGAGGTCCGAGCATAGTGTGGCGTGTTATCCTGTGTGACATATTTCTTTCGCCCCTGGCAATAACGATTTAAGGATCATTTTAGTCGCCAGCCCACTTTTGCTGGATGCCCCTTCCATTGCAGATATTTTACAAATCGCTCGGGAAAATGAGTGGCTATGAGAGTAAAAAAGTCTGATCACAAAACTTACATTTCCGTCTGTCTGTCTGTCCGCTAATACTTGGACCGCCTATAACTTAGAAAGTACTGCTCGGATTTGGATGACATTTTCTCAAAAGGTTGCTACTATGCTGCGGACAAAAAACTGCAGCTTTTGAAAATTGGTCTAGTGGCGGCGGGGCTAGGGGCAAAAACGTGAAAAAA